AGTTTGTTGGAAATCCTTTTCATATCGCGCCAGGTCTCTGAGCCATACAGAAGCACTGACTTGACTGACGTTGGTGTTGAAAATCCGGATGTTGTTCACGCTTTGTGCTGAGTCCAGTGTTGTAGATCTCCACACCGGTTTCAGGTTAATGAACGCCTGTCTTGCTGTATTTCCGATCGTGGCTGCTTTGACATCCTCGTCTGTGTCTCTTGTAGTTGAAACGATGCTGCCTAGGTAGGTGAGAGGAACTACTCCCTTTAGATTTCTCCTGATAATGGTGATTGGAGCTTGTTGTTCATGCTGTTGTTGGTCGGGTATCTTAATCACTTCTGTCTTCTCTACGTTCACTTGAAGTCCCGTCTATCTTCGCTGCCTCGCCTTTTCTGTCAACTTGTTGGTCTTCGCCTATTTATTTCCGAGTTTGTGCGACAAGACATTGGACATAAATAATAATCATCATCGATGGCAAAATCCAAATCCCCACAGCTCCTCACAATTGTCTGTTGCTGCATTATCCAGTCTAGTCCAGTCGACCACAGGAAGATCAGGAAGATCATTGGTGATAGTAGGCGGCAACCTTATCTTACTCCTGTCTCCTGTCTTCATTTCGAAGGCGTCACTGAGCTTTCCATTACAGATCACTTGGCATGTGGTTCCGCACACTATTTCAGTGAAATAATCACCACTAATATCAGTCACATTACATTAAGTTTACATACCAACATATTGTTTACAGGCAATGAATTCAACAATTACCAGATTATATGAACTACTCGCTTAAATTTTATTAAAGTTGATATCTAAAACAGGTCACTTCAACATCATTTGCTCATTAATTCAATGTACAATTGTGAATCAAACTACAATGTATAATTTATAAGGAACAAATGTAAATAAGTATCACATTCAACAAAATATCAGTATTGTCATTTATGTATTCAGTATCCGAGATGAAGAATAGACTTAACGTTTGATTTGTCTTAACAAACTAATCTGCAAAATTTCAACTAAACTACAAGCTGAATTTATCTTGGAGTTAATGTGTTACACTTCCACTATATATATATATATATATATATATATATATATATATATATATATATATATATATATATATATATATATATATATATATATATATTGATCAACTGATATTCTAGTCAGGTAGTAGTACTTTTTTGTACAAAAGGAGATCAAAATAGTTGCCTAGATTATAGACACTCTTAAAAGTATCTCATGTCTGAATTTATGAATAATCAACTTGTGTATGCTAATCTCATTACCGTAAAATATACTGATTCAATTCGAGTTGTAGAAAACTACAGTGAATGATTATAAGCTGTATAAAAGTATACGAAGAATGTTAAATTATCTCATAAGAAGTACAATCTTTTTATCCAACATTAATAAGACAGTTTTCAAAAGTTAATTTGTGACCTGTAGCAAGCACACTATCCTCTCAAACTATTCAACTTCGAATTCTATTCATTTATTCATAAAGTGATCACGTGAATAACTGATAGTTTTGAAATAAGACAACCGATTGTATGAGCAAAAATTAACTGAAGACACACTATGTTACATTTATCCTAAGGCCTCTTAAATTCTTAACCTATCTTACAATAAACATTATAACTGAATATTATATAGACCAACAGTGTAACTCCACTCCATCTTCTAAGTTAGCTGATGTGATGTAAGTAGCTGCGGGATCGACTCGAACATGGTGACTCGAGCAATAACAATTGAAATGATTTTAGGGTGGGACAAAACCACTGTCGAATATGATGAGGTGGAGAGAAACAGAGAGAGATTGATTGCTGAATCGTTGCTCATCTAGTCTACACCCAACACACGTAATAGGAATGATGCAACACCTTCACCACAGATATGGAACGTGTTACTAACAATTAAAACAAAGAATTTGAGACGGGTGGATAGGACTATGAAAATCAGATATTGAAAGTAGTGTGATTACACTGATACTAATTATGAGTAATAATTTGTGCTCAAACGTCATAAAGTAAGTAATACTGTATCACTATGCTTTATATCACATAAACAGATTTAATATAGAGCGAAAAGAAGAACTTCAAATTGTAAGTGAAACATTTCTGAGATTCATCAAATTACACTGAATGCAGCTAAATGAAGTGAAAATTAGTTGACTATTTTCACATCAAAACATTCAGCAACACATTGAATATATTTTGTGAAAATGCACAATATCCGATTGTCTTTATTTGCCAACACACACACACACACACACACACAGTTCAGGAAACGAGGTAATTTATCTCTCGTTTTTGACAGACACTAATAGTCCTACTAGGAAATGATCATAAAATAATCACAATTTCTTACTCCTCAATATTGACTTAGTTGACTTACACTAATCTCTACTGAAAGATACGTAACAGTCAACAAAAGGATTGATCTCAAGAAGTACCAAGTCTATCACATTAAAAATGAAACTTCACAGACTACAAATGAACAATACCAGCAGTTATTATTCTGGAATCAAATATGCTCAAAGTTTGTCTTGGACGTGATTACTGAGGAATGAGTAAAAGATTTTCAGTCTATAAAAACTTTCTACTCTTCACATTATATCCATGTCAGTTTCTCATAACTTTTATTATTGTATCGTTCTCACTTGGTAGTATATATGATCTAGCTATCAGTGTGTTAACAGGCTAAATATGTAGACCACGTCAGTATCTATTTACAGGTGTGTACATTAGGCTGTAAGGCACACTTGAAATGTGAGGACTAATAATCCAGCTTGACAACTTATCCAAATGTTGGTTGAGTATAAATGAACATATGGCTAGACAGTTGAAAGTTGTTTCTTCAGTTCACCAAGGTACAGCTATATTTGCATGTTCGTAGACAATTCACATCCAAAGGTTAACTTGTAATGCATATTCTTGGCACTAAATACTGTTAGGACTAAAATAAACAAACATTTAAAATACCAGTTAAATAATCTCCTACAGAGTTGACAAGTGACTTTAGTCCTGTATGTTTTGTTTTAGCGTGTAGACATTTACCACTCTTAGCTTCTTGTTTGTGCTAGTCAACAGAAGTACACGCCAAGTCCCTACTTCAGTCACTTATACGTGCATAAATAATGTCTTCACTTGACATGAATACATAAACTGCTTCTCTTAGTACTTCTTACTATCCAAAGTGTTTTCTTATTTCTATTTGATTATCAATACTTACATGTAGGTAAGGTACTGGTCAGTTTGGTATTGGTTCATGTGTTATGCAATAATAATAAGACAACCAACCCCTTCCTTACATACTCATATGAGTCAGTGTACATCATCCAATCAGATTTATAAAACTAAATCCTCCTATACTGCATCTGGTTGGGTACTTTCTTGGAAATGATAGCTGTTTAATTACTTGAGGAATACTTCATTCCTATTTCACTTGTGGAACGACAAATTTCTATTTAGGTATAGGAAATCAGTCGTGAAAAATAGGCATTATGTTATATCTATACTACAGGATTCAGTGGTGACATGGTAACTTTTCAAAAAACACGTTCTTTTTTTAATCATCTCCTAAAAGGAAATAAGAAATAAAATTACTAAGTGAATGCTTTGAATGAAACGAGGACTTCCTGAATCCATTGGTCTAAAGTAAATATGGCTCAATTGTAGGAGAGTAAACTGCGAATTTTCCCCGTAATTTATTCCGAGAATCCAGCTGAATGGGAAATTGACAGGCTCTCTCACGAATAAAACGAAGAAACACATGTTGTTAAGGTCATACCTACTTGGCTATGGAGTAACAGTGACGTACGCAGATGGCTAACAACTACTCTTAGATGTTCTTAGAGTTATCCGAATGAAATGACTTTGGTTAGTAAAATAATATATGCCGATGTTTAGCCTTGTGTAAAAACTTCTGTTCAATTAGCCTAGATGTAAATCCGTCTCTAAATATTGTCTAGCGAAAATATTACTCGTGGAGTCCTGGATAAGCATTGTTGAGGAGTGCCATAGTAGGAAGAAATAGCTGTCCAGTGCTCCCAGATGTTACCCCAACTGATGTCAGTCCGTGATGAATACTAACCTGAAATCATTAAATCCATACAAACCCCTAAACTGGGACTTCAAGTGAATGTAGAGAAGACAGAGGTGATGAAGATACCCAACTAACAACAACAAGCATCAATCACCATCAACGGGAGAAACTTAAAGGTAGTAGCCTCCTCCACCCACCACCTAGGCAGCACTATTTCAACTACAGGCGGACGTCAAAGCCAGCCAGGATCGGAAAGACAGCAAGACAGGAGCTCGTTAACCTGAAAGCAGTGTGGAGATCTTCTACACCAATGTCAAGTTAGTGCTTCTATGTGGTGGTTGAGAGACTTGACGCGTTACGAAAGGCATTTCCAGAAAACTACAGACATTCATCAACAACTGCCTCCCACTGTGGCTCGTTACTGAAGATCAGATGGCCGGTATAATGAGAATAAGCAACAAGGAACTCACTCCGGCTGGTTGGCAACAAACCAACCAAAAACCTATCGCTCAACAAATATACAGGGTAACATGGAGGAGATCGTGTGAGGAAGAAATGAGAGCTTGTGGGCTGTCGTGGAGCCAGGCTGAAAAGATTGCAGAGAAGAGAGTGCACTGGCGACGTGCTACTGATGCCCTTATATTCCACTGGGAACCCAAGGGACAAATAATAATAATATTAAAACCTTTAAACTGAAATGGAATTTGTTGAGTCCCGCTTACACTATGGACTATGCGTTGTTCATGAATAATCTTCATACTACATTACTTCACTATATTTATGTATGTAATAGAAATCAATGGAAATTTCGGTTGATTCATGGATTCACTCTGTTTAAAAATATTTCTCTACTCACTTACTATTCATTTATACATGCAAATTAATAAGGGGTGTATTCAATGTTACCATAGTGATATGATAAATGATGTGTATATAAATGCTTCATTAACACATTAAATGTGAATAGAGACAAGAAAGATGTTCTCACTTTAACACTAATAACTTCTAAACCATCTCTCTACTTCCTCTACTACCTCTTCTTCTTCTTCTTACTCATATTGTTTCTTAGAAATAATTCATAAAAAGGATTTTCTATACAACAAAGACTGAGTGAATTACACAGAATGTTTATTCTATTTTCAACTTTACTAGTCATCATTATGATTTGTATTAATGGATATAGAATGAAATTACCCAGTTGGGATGATGATGTCTACAGTTATGCAGCTATATGGAATTCATCAATAAAAAATGAAGAAAAATTCAATCAACATAATAGTAAAACAAATTTCAATGATAAATTTGAAAATAATCAAATGAAAAAGGAACAAATGAAAAAATTAAAAACTCATGGTTTCGCTGAAAATTTAATGCTTATCGATGGTGTTTCAAAAATGAAGGTACAGTCTTAATTAATCAGCATGGTAAATGGGGTACAATATGTGATGATAATTGGACATTGAAAGAAGCAAATGTTGTCTGTCATATGTTAGGCTATCCGCATGCTTTACAGGCTACAACAAGAGATTATTTCTATTCAAATAGTGAATGTAAGTTTATAATAAAAATTACTAAGAAATTTAAACTATAAGGCATATTTCCTCTTTAGTAAAATGATAATGTAGAAAATGGACGAGAAAATCATGTGTTAAAATAATCTGTATGAAAATTGAATAATGTTACAGAGATTTATTAGAACCTGATAAAGAATCGGTCTTTCTGATGCTATTGCTTATATTATCCTGTAGTTGATTGAACCGAATTGATCCATCAGTACTACATATAACTAAAACACTGACAATATGGAGGCATCCGTACACGAACCCATATGCCAATCTGGACCGATCAATTCCATCGAGTCAACAAGGGGATAATACAGGCAATAACACTTCACTATACCTTCTTGGCTCGATGGTGTAGTGGATAACGCTTTGGCGCTTGAAGCGATTGGTCCCGGGTTCGAATCCTGATGAGAGTCAGGTACATCCGGCTGACGAGCACTAAATAAGACGAAACGTACATCCTGTATTCCACTGCTGACTACCGTCCATCACTACTGATTGGTCTTTCTATCAAGAGATCGCAGTTTAAGAAAAGTTTCCATCACGAACCATGGATGCTCTTATCCTTGTAGTTTAAAATAGCGTCCTTGACAGCATGCACAATCAGACTCATTATCTCCTCACATGAAGGCATATACCCTACGGCTTAACTACTTTCTCACTGATCAGTTGTGAAGTACTCTCTTCAGCTTTTTTTCTTCATGACACTCTCAATAGAAGAAACATTTTCACTAAAGCATCTTCCACTTAATTTACTACTGACCGTTGCAAACTACTCAAATCAATCAGCAATTCTCACCTGCTAGAACAAGGCTCATTTATGTGTAGCATATCAACAATGTAAACAGATTAATGAAGCTCTGAGAAGAAAATAGTTCAGACCACCTGAATTCATAATTACGTTCCACTTTATTGAATTCACTGGCGTAAAAATAATTGCGGGTTGACTAAATATCGTTTTGAACTTGCTTGATTAAGAAAACTTTTTCTTCATATAACCTAATAGCATTATGTTATTAGACCCATTAATCTTTATGAAATTACTCCGTCTATACTAATTTTTCATTGGTAACAGTCAACTTCAGCCTTCCCACTAATCAGTTTATATAAACAGTTCAAATTCTGAGTTAGTAGACAAATAGTTAAGCATCACTGAATCCCTGGTGAGTAGTTCCATGTGGAATTTATAAAACACCAGTCGTAACCATATTCCCACTGATCAATAAATTTACACTGAATTAATGCAGATAACAACACCAATAAAATCACAAGTTTATCTTTACACTGCTATCAATTTAATTTCCTTGTGATTATTGAAGCTCAGCAGCTCATTAAATACATCTTTCCCTTTCGAATAATGACTGCCTGACTCTGGGTTCCAATGAGAACAGGATCACATAGTTGAATGTCGAGATTTTCAACAGGGGATTAACGATAACGATGAAATTGTGTGACATAACTCCGATGCTAGTCATTAACAAACATATGACATGACTGGATAAATAAAGTGCTGATTCCGTTTCCAGCCTACAATATATAAAGTTAGAACAGTAGATATAAATACCCACAAGAAGAGCTTACAACTATTGCCGGTTCCCTGGCATGTTGCCATGTAAGTCTTATATGGCGTGACTGATATTACTGGGCATTATTTCCTTCAAACAGTGTGAAGTGAATGATTTCGGTTGTAAATTTAATTAATCTCTTCATCACTTGTTCTAATATTTTTATATATTTGTTTGAATGAAGTAATGATCAGTAGAATCAATCAGTTATACTACGGAAAGCCCATATGGTAACATGACGAATACCGGAAGTCGCTTATAATACAATCTACTGACATTTTCTCGGTTAAATCAACTACCGATTATCTAAATTAAAGTTGGAACAAGTAATTAAACATTTGGCATCCACCTATGACTCCATAAAGTCCCTTAAATTACTCACTGTAATATTGAGTAAGAACTTAGAGTCCAGAGGAATTGTACAACTATTTCTGCTTCCTCTGAAACTTCTTTCATAATTAAAATCCGACCATCTTGTCTACATGAAAACTCTGATAGTAAATTTTTTCTTAGCATTCAAACAAATTTAAATTGATTCCATGTTTTCTGTATTTCCAATGAAAATAAACTGCATGAAAAATAAGTTTGAAATGAAATTCAGTTCACGAAACTCAGTTGATACGGCTCAGAATAATAAATTACAATGGTATGGATCCATTCCCCTTTTTTTTAATCATCTTCAAACTCTTGAACGTTCTCAATCATCTTCACATGTTTACTCTTTCACTTCATTGTACTAGAATATTGTGAGCAGTGGTGAGTGACTTGGTTTATGTAGATTTGTCTATCAGTCAGCTTATCTTACTTATTTGAAGGAACAAACAAAACATAAGATAATTGAGTTAAAGATTTTGCAAAACCTCCAAAGATCACTCAGTTATGAGAATAAGACGTAAAAATCTCTTAAGAGACATCTAAGTACCGCAGATTACATCAAAGTTATCTAAATCTTCATATGAGTGTAGATATCAGTCAACCATTCATGTTTATTTTATTACGTTATGACACTAATGTACCACAAATTATGATAAATGATCTTGATCTTGTTAACATGATAGGTGAACAATTGAAAGAATAAATCATTTGTAGAGAATGTTAACACATTAAACACACGGTTTTTAGTCAGTTCCCACCCTGAGCATCCATTGAACAGTATGCAAGTTTAGCTTTTAACATCCATGTACCACTAATCTACTCATCTACTAACCAGTGAATTGACTGTCCAACTGACCAATTCTACGTATCACTACGAGTAGTTTCGGCCTATTCATGTTTATAACCAACAACACACTGAATAGTTCTTTCCTACTTGCACAAAATCTCTCATTACAGAGAAACTTTTACTCTCTTCCCTAATCATACAAAATCAGTCTTCATCTACACTTGGCAAGTGATTTTAAAAGAAGTATTCCTTACTTTGAAACAATATATAGATGATTCTGATGTGTAATGAATGTTATCGTCATGGTGAAGATTTCTGAGAGTATGATCATTTAAAGTAACTTGTCCCTTTGATAAATTTAAACAACAGAAGATGAAGATTATCTTAAACATAGCTTTGTCGAACAATTTATGTGAAAATTTACAAAAGGGATTCATGAAGTTAATAGGTAACATAGAGGAATAGGAAGGCAGAGAAAAAGAAAAGTATGTTACTCACGCAACTCTTCGTATGAAAATTAACATCATTACTACCAAGGTAGGTTCAACGTGAATAGTTGGACAAGTCCATGTGTGGATTTGGGGATGAGATCGTTTGAAATGTATAGCGCTAATACATACATCACAGCATGTTTCAGATAATCTTCATCTTCTCATTACGCTGTTTAAAGTATGATGATTGTGTTTTTTTTCTAAAACTGTTCAACAATGCTCCCCAACAGTTAGTTTTAACTTCATGTCTGGTAAAACCTCTTTCACTATATTAAACAAGATATTGCAAGATCTCAGTGCTAAGAAAGTGGTAAGGAATTTTTTTGAAATATTGTCGCAGTGTAGGCTACAGTTTCATCCTGACAACTTGTGTTAGATATACTGTGATTTTCATCACGAAACATCTCAAACAACTTCGTTACATTCTTTTGAATAATCTTACATTTGTAGTAGCCTGCCTATAGTTCCTGGTCATTGATTTGACTGAACTGACCAATCAGTCTTGGTAAATGGGTTTCTGTGTAGTTGACTAGACATTACCAGTGATTTCATTGTCATTACAATTAGACGCCAAAAGTAGCTTATCGCCATGGTTGTTTCAATGTATCAATGACAAGAAACTGTCAACTATGAAATCAAACTATACGTATTGCACACAAAGTGACTATTGTAAGTTGTTAGTAGCCTATTCAATAATACCCTGGCAATGGAAGTGACGGGAACAATATCGGTCACTGAAAGGTAGAAAGATCCATCTAGTTGACTAGTCACAACTTAGACGAAACCTGTATCATGGATTCTGTTGCTAATACCCTTAAGACTAAACTCAAACGCTTTTACAATAATCCACCCAGATCTTATGTTACTGGGACATTCACGAAAAACTGTCCTTTTAATATTCCTACACTTATGTGCTTGAAGAATGCATGCGATTTAAATGTTGTTCTCAGAATTCACGCTGACTAATATGCATTGCTAAACAGTCGACATCTATCTGTCTGCGTACACAAATACAACAAATATCTCTCCATTGAAGCACATGTTATAACGTTTTAACCTTATTCTACCGGATAAATAAAACAAGCAGTCACATAATGAGAGGTAAAAGCTTCTCACATGACAACAAGTTTCAGTTGTCAACTGAACACAAATCGATTACTTACTTAAGTATTCGTTCACTTTTCTCACTCATCCTGATAAAAAGGAACCCACTTAACTACCATCTGAATGCATCTTTTACAACAATTTTTCTAACAAGTTATTAATGTTTATTTCTAACCCTTGATAATGGAATCTTACATACTTACTGCCGTATGCTACATCGATTTTTTACTGAAATTATGTAACTCAGCAGTTGTCAAACTGACTGATGTTGCTGATACACGGTGTTGATTAAAGATGAAATGAAAACCAAGGACACAGACATGTAAACAATGGCCAATGGCCACCAAGTCAACTAACCTTCTCTCGATTATTTGAGCTACAAGATTCAACTTCTAACCACTTTCTGACTTCTATTTGATAATCAAGATGCTGTCTGACTAGGCAGCTAGTGCAGGCAGTTATGATGGAGAGTCAACCAAGCATCATCAATTCACATGGTATTTATCAAACCAATCAAAACCGAGTCAACTCAAAGATGAGACAAAGAACACTGGTACAATATTCATTAAGTTTTGGTGACTAGCACTGAAATACAGGATGTGCATCTTGTCTTGTCTGGGATTCATCAGGTGGATGCAGCTGCAACCCAGTGAGTGGTGATGTTCCTAGTGAGATTTAAACTCAATACCGATCACTTCAGATGCCAAACTGTTAACCATTGGGCCAATGAGATATGACAGCAACCTCTTGTGAAACCGGTATCAGTTTTTATTGATGGATACGTGTAAATACGTTCTCTCCCAGTGTCCAAGTATTACTCTTCTACTAAATTTGTAATGCTATACACACTGTATGATTGTGTGTAGCTGCAAGCAGAGCTAACTACAGTCTACCAAACCCGATTTTATTCCACTTTGTATTCGAAGAGTCAAATCTGACTTGCATCATTGACATCTCCATCTACGCAAAGGAATTGATAAGCTAAATTATTTCGTTTCATTGGATAAGTAGGATCTCAAAAACACACTCGAGAATAATCTTCTTCCACTAAATACCCCTTGCAATTAATGTGATGTTGAAAACACAAGGCAAAGTAGTCGATAAGGGTCGATTTGGCCGTTTGAAGATAAAAGCATTGCACAATCAATTTTGTTAGACCCTGGAAAGCATAACAATCTGGAGTAAAGCTCGTCTATATCTATGCATACGATTGCACACAGTCGTAACGTAGGATGGGACAGAGCGACAGTATTAGAAAGTAACTTAACTGGGTAGAGGGAGATTGATAACTGATCCTTAGTTTATCGAACTGATACTAAATACATGCAATAGGAATGACTTAACACCTGTTTTGAACATAAGCAAACTATACTGCCTTTATCGCAAAGAAGAGAATTAGAACTAGTATGACGGTGTCTCATAGCTGTGATAGGACTATGAACAATAAACTATGTTCTCAATTACACCAGAGAAAATCTTGTTTCATGATTAGCTGAATGATGGATCCGGCGCCCACATGCAGAAACTCCAAGTACAAGTTATCATTCGCTCTATCGAAAAATAATTCACTCCTGCCTTTCTTATAATCTTCGGTTTATTTTCGAATTCTTTCCCATAGAGAAATATTTTTAGATTATGAATTTTTATGTGAACAACAGTGATTAATTCCCCCTGAATTTCTTTCATCAGATGACTATCTAATGGATGATATTTACTGTCAAGGAAGTGAATCTCATTTAAACGAATGCGTTTATTGGACAGAACACGATTGTTTAAAACGTGAAGAAGCTGGTGTTATTTGCCTCAATCCTGAACCAATTAAATGGCAATACAATGTAAGGAACCCACATATTGAAAAACTATCTCCTTCTGAAGTGAAAAGAATGCGACAAGTAAGCGGAGAACTCCCCACTTACTAATATTAAAACTGATTAAAGTTTCGTATTTGTTATGTTGGTTAAATATTATTCATAGTCTGTAGTCAATCTTGTTTACAAAAGTTGTTTTATTCAACTTTTCACCAAAACAAACTAATCAACTGATGAGTACAACTAAACAAGTCAGTGATGACAAGTTACTTGCACATTGTTAAACTTTGCATAAGTATGTGCTTACATAACAAACGAAGCCAAGATAACCCGTTTTCCCCACAAATATTTAATATGAAGGAATATGCTAGTGAACAGTAGTATAGGTAGTTATAAACTACCCACTGTGTTCTGTAGATTTAGTCAGACAAATGAGAAAGGCTTAAAGACCAGACGGGATTTTCTCTGGTTTTTGGCCGAGCTCATCGGAGATGTACCAGTACAAATTCAGCTTACATAGCCGAGCATTTCGGAGAGCCTTTCTATACCATAGTTGGGCAAGTGAAAAAGTACTTGGCCGTCAGAAATGTCAACATAGAAAGTGGAACTTTTAAACCATTTACAAATTTAAACTGAAGGTTTAAAGGTACTGCCAACTTATGTCTTAAGACAATACTGGTGGTTTTGATGGCCATTATAAATTTTAACCTTTATATTTCGAGCAAAACTGAACATCAGCACATCAAACAATTCTGAAATAATCCTTTAGAAAGTCAATTAAAACTCATTTGAAGATAGTGCGATAATAATAAGGGGATTTCGATAAAGTTTTCGTGTACTTGTTATTGTCCTCTTTACAATCACTTATGAATAGCATGATTAAACATTTTCGTCTAAGTTGAGATATTCTCAAGATAATTCCATCATACTATTAATCATATCGACTTGAAATCCAACATGTAAACTATGATAATGATCATGTTGAACTTCATCTATCACAAGATCATGCTGAGCAGTATCAAAATAGGAGGAGAAACTGTTCAGTCCCTTTAGGTTTCCGATGACTTTCTAGCTGATATCAATCTGTGCTGAATGCATTATCTTACGATCTGATACGCATTAAGTCTCTACATACCTTTGCATATTCTTACTAACCTATTGAATAATGATCTACCATTTGACAATCATAGTGGAACCAATCAATTGACTTTAAGGTAAGTGAAAGTATATTCACGATACAACAAACTTCGAAATGAAAAAAATAAACCAATTCATTATTCACAATACTTGTATAAACAAACATGAATGTGATTGCAAAAATTATTTTTCAATATTCAAACATACAATAAAGCCGATTCAATTATCAATAGTATAAATACAGTCTAGTTGTTCTGAATTAAGCGCCAGCCTGAAGGAATATATTGTGCTTTAACAATCTCCTCTTTCACAGATACGAATTTAAAGTATCTTCAGAAGAACTTCAGTGGCATATTTTACATTTGCCTAATGACTCTCTAAAACTTTTCATCTATACTCAGATTACATGGGAGTAAAATATTAACGCAAGTTAGTAGAAAATAAACTCAGATGGCTTTAAATCTTAGTTAAGTGCAACATATGGGTACTACAACATCAACACTGTCAACGAACAGTCACTTGACAATATCGAACATGTTTCTACAACTTACTTCGACTACTCATAAGTAGTATAAATCTATTTGCAAAACTCTTCACAACGTTCATTTTCTCAAGTGTGTCAATCATACCATTTCTCAATAGTAGAATTCGATTTCAGGAGTTATGTAGTGAACAGCAGTTATCAATGATAATCTCCTGCATGCTCTACTAGTTTTTCCATTTTTTTCCTTGAAACGTTTCCAGTAAATTTGGTATGTTTGTTTGGAGGTTGGTGGCGATTCACTTATTGATTTCAAAATGCTGTTCATCATGGACTTAGTCAGTTAGAAAACCAGTGAAAATGTGTAAACACGAGATAAGCGTTTCCTAATAGTGTGGAAATCTTCAGCAGTACACACTCGTGACATCCCCAGGGGAATTACTCTGTAGTGCTCATTAGTGACATGCTTCTAGAAGAGATTCCCGAAGTCCTAATGAGAGGTCATGAACAGTGAAGTCGGCCATGAGGAAAGCTACTCAACGACGGCATTGGATGGAGGTCATGGAGTGACTGGAGTAGGAAATATGGACCACTGGATTCCAACCTATTGGCTCAGTGGTGACGTGCTGGTAGTGGAGTCTGCAGGTCATCAGTTCGATCCTTGGCAGCTCGATCTATCGGTGCGCGTTGCTCAGGAGTGCCATACTAGGACGAAACAGCTGTCCAGTGCTCTCAGGTTGCCAGTGGTTTTCCAACTGCTATCAGTTCGTGATGAATAACAACCTGAAATTCAATATTATCACTTTCCTTTCTGTAATCCAGTCAACTTTGTTACTACGTGTTTATTCTCTCCTCACAATAATCTTCATCATATCAATTCCAAAACCAAAACACTCAAGACGTTTTAATTAACTCACGCTAACTAATATATTTGCAAAAATTGTATTCTGTAAACGGATTATAAATGAGATGTATTCATGAAATCCCAGTGGGTTAGGAAAATAAATTTTTGACGTTTTGCGACTTCGTGGTATTCGCTTCTCTGAGGAAGAAGAAGAAGCAATGTCGATAATCAGTTCAAATGATAGATGAACATGAGAAGCCAATGATGGGAAGAAGAAGACCATTTATTACTGGTTAGTTTTCATCCGCATTCATAATTCTCAGGTTTATAACATCAGTCTTCTTGATCCATCCTTTAATCTTTTCATTTCAGTTTTAATTGTTGACTTGTTATTACTGTGATGTATGCTACTGATAAGAATCTGGTCAAGTAGTATATACTGCAGTGTCTTGAAGGAAGATTATAAGAGATGATTGAGCGGCCAATGTTCTGGGTTGACCAGGAAACCCAACTATTCATCTGGTCTTAGTTCCACCGCCTACCACTTTCAGCAGCTGAAGTGAAATTGAGATCTGTCTGATTAGCACTTAGTTCCCCAGGTTCATTCAATAAATTACTGTCTCCGTAACCCGGAAGTTTCTCCAACAGAATTAAGTAATCATATATAATGCTCAGATTTCACTACATACTTATTATTATTATTATTATTATTAGTCCCTTGGGTTCCTAGTGGAACATAGGGCTTCAGTAGCACGCCTCCAGTGACCTCTGTTCTCTGAGATCTTTTGAACCTGGTTCCACGACAGCCCAGAAGCTCTCATTTCCTCCTCGCACGACCTCCTCCATGTCACCCTCGGACGTCCAACTCGTCGCTTCCCATGGGGATTCCACTCGAGGGCCTGACGCGTGATGTCCTCAGTCGGCCTTCTCAGTGTATGCCCAATCCATCTCCACTTCTTCCTGCATATTTGTTGCGTGATAGGTTCTTGGTTGGTTCGTTCCCAGAGTTCCTTGTTGCTTATTTTTTCTGGCCATCTGATCTTCAGCAGCGAGCGTAAGCAGTTGTTGATGAATGTCTGTAGTTTATTGGAAATGCCTTTCGTGACGCGCCAAGTCTCTGAGCCATACAAGAGCACTGACTTGACGTTGGTGTTGAAAATCCGTATCTTGTTCCGCATGCTGAGTGCAGAAGATCTCCACACTGGTTTCAGGCTAATGAATGCCTGTCTTGCTTTTCCGATTCTGACTTTGACGTCCTCGTCCGTCCCGCCTGTAGTTGAAACAGTGCTTCCTAGATAAGTGAAGGAGGTTACTTCCTTCAAGTTTCTACCGTTGACGGTGATTGGAGTTTGTTGTTGTTGTTGATGGTGGTGGTGCGGTATCTTCATCACTTCTGTCTTCTCTATATTCACCTGAAGTCCCGTCTTAGCTGCCTCCTCTGTCAACTTGTTAGTTTTTGCCTGCAGATCTTCAAGTTTATGTGACATTAGGCATAAGTCATCGGCGAAATCCAAGTCTTCTAGGTTCTTTTCCGTCGTCCAGTGTATCCCCCTCTTCTCGCTGCCTACTGTTTGCTGCATGATCCAGTCCACCACAATTAGGAATATCATGGGGGATAGTAGGCAACCTTGTTTCACTCCTGTCTTCACTTCAAAGGCATCACTGAGCTTCCCATTGTGGATTACTTGGCATGTGGCATCTTCATATAGTTGTTGAATGAGGCGGATAAAGGTTTGCGGTACTCCGTAGTATTGAAGCAGTTTCCAAATTACTTCTCGGTCGACGCTGTCAAAGGCCTTCTCAAAGTCGATGAAGTTGAGGTATAGAGCTGATTGCCATTCTACGCTCTGTTCTATGATGATACGAAGCGTTGCAATTTGGTCAGCACATGATTTGTACTTCCTGAAGCCTGCCTGTTCCGGTCGCAGTTTTGAATCCAGTGCGTCTTTAAGCCTCTCCAGGATGATGCGGCTTAATATTTTACTTGGGGTGGATAGGAGAGTGATTCCTCGCCAGTTCTTGCAAGCACTGAGGTCTCCCTTCTTCGGCAGTTTGACAAGGTAACCCTTCTTCCAATCGTCAGGTACCTTCTCTTCCCTCCACACCTTCTGCAATAGTGGTGTGAGCATGTCCGCTGTTGTCTCTGCATCTGTTCTCAGTGCTTCTGGCGGTATTCCATCTGGTCCTGCTGCTTTCCCGCATTTCAGTAGCTTTATGGCGTTCAGGACTTCCATTTTCGTTGGGGGATTTATGTTCACTTGTAATTCAGCGGCTGCAGGTGGTATTTCTGGACGAAGTGCAGGTGGTGGTCGATTCAAGAGCTTCTTGAAGTGGTCGGCCCATCGTTTCCTCTGTTTCTCTTCTTTTGTAATTAAATTTCCTTCTTCATCTTTTATTGGTTTCATCTGTGTTGGTCTCTTCCCTGATAGCAACCTGGTTATTTGATACAATGTCGTCAGGTCTCTCTTACCTGCAGCCTGTTCTGCTTCACTTGCCAGTGTGTCGTAGAAGTGTCGTTTGTCTTTGCGTGCACTCTTCTTCACTTCTTTATCCAGTGTTTTATACATTGTGCTCAGTTCCTCTTGTCGTTGAGCATCCTTGCACTGGTTTATCTTCTGCTTCACCATCCTCCTCTCCTCTATCAGCTTCCAGGTATCCGTCGAGATCCATTCCTTGTCTTCCTTCTTCCTTCCTAATACTGTTGTGCAGGTTTCTTTCCACATAGCTTTCAAAGACTTCCAGTGTTCTTCTACACAGGTTTCTTCAGGGATGTCCCTCGACGTCTCCCATTTTGTCTTGATGGCTGCTTTGAAGATCTCCTTTGTAGTTTCATCCTTCAGTTTCCGAGTGTTGTACTTGAATTGAGGTCTATCACCAGCTTCCTTGAAGGCTTTTAACTTGATTTGGAAGGTTCCTTGCACTAGATAGTGGTCTGAACCTACATCTGCTCCTCTTCTTGACCTTGTGTTAAGTAGACTGCGTCTCCATTTTCTTGAGATTGAGATAAAGTCGATTTGGTTTTTAGTGTGTCCATCTGGTGAAATCCATGTCGCTTTGTGGATATCCTTGTGCCTGAACACACTGCCTCCAATCACCAAATCGTTGAATGCACAGAATTCTGCAAACAATTCTCCATTCTCATTCATTTCACCTAGCGCCTCTCGACCCATGGTTAGTTCTCTTCCCGTGTTGTCCCCTCCCAGTTTGGCATTCATGTCGCCCATTAGAATTTTGATATCGCCAACTGACGTCTTGTCCAGTGTTGACTGAAGTTGTCTGTAGAATTCCTCCTTTTTCTCTTGCTCTGCATTATTTGTAGGTGCATAACATTGTATGATTGTGACCTTTCTTCCTTTTGAGTTGAATCTTGCTGACATGATCCTGGAGGAGATTGGTTCCCACTGCATGAGAGCCTTCGATGCTCTTGAGGACATCATGATAGCCACTCCCTCAGTGTGCTCGTGGTTGGCGTCTGGGTGACCGGAGTAGATTATTGATTCTCCCGTTGACAGTTTGGAGAGTCCACTCCCATTCCATCTGCTTTCGCAAATCCCAAGCACTTCGATGTTATACCTTCTCATCTCCTTTGCAATCTGGGCTGCCTTACTGGGTTCAAACATCGTGCGGACATTCCATGTCCCCACGTTTACTTTCGCTTTCATCGAGAGAAGACACATCGGCCAATTGGCTTCCCGAAGGCTTTCACCAACTGGCGTCATTTCGCCTCTCCGATTCCAGCGGGGAATAAGTTTGTTTTCATTTTTTATATTTTGTTTGTGCTTTGAAGTTTCTTTAGCGGTTAGATTTGTTTTACGGGGTAGGGTTGCTAGCCCTATGCCCAACCTTCCCTCTTTACCCGGGCTTAGGACCGGCTAGTAACTAGTAAACTAGTTAACCAGGCGAGGTTCCACTACATACTTATGACTGACTAAATAACTAGTGAAAATTGCAGGCCTCAAATATGATTGTATGAAGTAGTACTTCTCTATTCTCATATTTATTTAATTTTTCTGTGATATAAGCAAATATTTTGGAGTGAAATGGAGAAATTAAACAATCATGGTCTTCATAAGATCAAGGTTCGAATCCCTAAAAGTAAAAATCATCAATCACTCATTGGTTCCGTATGTATTGATAATTTTCGTGGAGCAGAAGCGAATGTGGCTTGTCGAAGTGTTAACTATCTATTTGCTGCATCTTACTCATCAGTAAGTTAATAAATTAAACGATAAAGTTTATTTACAGATTTGATAAACAAAAGGAGATTACAACAAAAATAAGTATCCTTTCGATGACTCATTTTCACAGCTGTATATTTACAATTATATAAAAGCAGAATGGTAGACTGTTCCAGACAAGTTCTTACTTCAAAGGTTAAACTTAATCCATACATGTATAAAGGAGGTAAAAAATGTTACTATGTAACGTGAGTCAAAGTCCTTAAGTAGAACATTCTATGCTGCGAACCTCCACATTGTGTTCTCATTTTAACAGCTGATTCGTTAGTGCGTGAAAGGCTAGTTGACAAATTGGGCCTTATCAGCAAATATTTACATCAGTTGAGAAATAACTAAAAACTCAGGAGGATCAGACATCTGTTTCGTCTTATCTTAAGTCTCCTCACCAGTTGTCTGAATGATTATTTTTTCCGATGTACCTATTACTAAATTATCTTCCTATCGAGCTAAACTGATCATCCAAACTCCTACAAGTGTTGCTCAGAACATAATACAAGTACGTAAACGAAATTAACACCATTCATCATATGTGTTCTACACAACTGATAGGTCCCATATAGGACCAAATGTACCTCTTGGATTCTACCGCTAACCCCCACCAATCATATAAACCCAGACTAATTTAAACGATGTCTGTTACTTTAGAATTTATAAAAAACATTCCTAGTTTTCTCTATAAAACCCTAAGAAGACACTGATTGTATTCAGTCTGATTGGATTCGCTTATAATTCACCTTACTAGCTTGATTTATCACTCTCAAACTTATGCACAGCTTCTTTATGTGACCTTTAAACTGGTTGAGTAAAAAACATACATTTCAGATACCATAAAGGTAGGAATGATAGCGAGAAGTAATCTTTGTATAACTTTTATCAGGTTCTCCAGATCTAGACAATGATTGATACTTGGTGATCCAAGTTGTAATATGCGTAATTATTCCGGTGCTTCCAACTTATGTCCACTGTAGTCATAACTGACTACTTGAAGATGATTAGTAAGTAACGATAAGCATAAATTTCATATTTGCTGGTACACGGAGACATGTATAACCTATTCATTATTCACTGGCATGATTCGTGCAAATATCACCACTGAGCTCCCTTATAAGATATTTATAATCTTCAACTTCTGCCATGAATTAAAATATGTAAGAATAAACAGTAAAAGATCATTTTAATTACCGATCATCTAAAAAAATTCATAGATAATATTTGAAAGCATCTGCATGAAGTTACACTCGACAGACTGCTACAAACTTAAGTCTAAGTAAGCAATTTCAGAAGTTGAACAACTATTTAATATCTTTATCGGCAAATAGAACTAATAATCCATCTTGCATAGAATGATTTATTTAACAAGATCTATTTTCGTCTGAAACTTGATTTGATCAATATTCATTGTAGTCCTTATAAAAATTGTGCTCATACTAACATTTCCCAATGTTAAAACTATTCTACTCTACTTATTTATGCTGTTAGAACAATCAGCCATTTTCTATAAGGTATGAATAGACATTTATCGACCTTAGAATATATTTCACTCATCGAACGGAGAAGTTCAGTATCTGAACACATTGTATTCCATTGTATTCCACGGTTATTGACAAGTAATCATAATCTTTGGATCCATTATTCAGTCAGTCAACATGATATAAGTAAACACGGTGATGGAAAAAAGTTTGTTACCTTAGATGAAGAGGATAACTCTTTCATGCTTTACTAGTCTAGCTAGATATTCATTCAGTTGTGGATATTTCATAAACAGGTAGTGGACTACTACTTCTCTTTCTAGAGTCCTACTAGCTCTGATAAAAGATTATAACTCAGTAAACCATCTCTGTAATACAACGTCCTAAACTACTAAACAGGTTTTATTATAAATAGACAAGGTATATGAAGCACTAGACGTCTATCTCACGTCAGTTTAAGGATTGATTCATTTAAGATAAGAAAAGTATACGTTAAAGACTCTAAGAACCTTATAATGCATTCTCTTAAGTCATTCAAAATTCTTAACTGTATATTTATATTTTAAGGTACCATTAAGCAACTCGGAGTTGACTACACTCTATCCACTTGTACGCATTGGACATTGTTTTGGAAATGAATCAAGGTTGGAAGATTGTGTCAGTTTCACTGATCCAAATGGTGTACCATGTTCAAATAAAAAGTTGGGAATTCTAGTGAACTGTACAACAGGTAAAACTGATTTTTTTTTTTACTACCTTCCTTATGCATAAATGATGCATTACAAATTCAGCTGTATTACAAACAAAAAAATAATTTATGTAGTCTACTAAATTTGATGACTCAAATGTTGAGGAAGTTTCATTCAATATATATAAGCACAAGATTCAGGTAATAACCAACTCATTGAAATATTCATGAAACTTAGTGATTACAGCGTTGTTTCTTGGTAATAATGTTTCAGTTTTTGCCAGTCACTGACATTAAGCAATATATTGTATTCTGATTAGCCTAAGCAAGTCATTGAAAGTAACCTGGAAACTGAGATTGTCCCAGAGATGTTCAGCATAGCAGATAGAGCTGAGGATGTGGACAATGTCTTTCAATCATCACGGCTATGAATAACATAAGAACTCAGTATTAAACTGTTTACTCATAGTGTTAACTAACACTTGTCTAGTTACTCCTAAACTGACACAAATGATAAAAACAATATTCATCTTCCATTATGATATTTAACGCAGTTGATTTACAGACATACAAATCACCATTGAGTTATACGATTTCAAAAATTAAAGATTCTCATAAGATTGATGAAAATCAACAATCTTAAGGAAGAATACTCTTTTCAAGAAATTCTCATCATCTTCTACAATAATCAGATACAGTTGTACAGAGTAAAAACAAGTAAATTTAGTTGCGAACATATCTTGAATATGGGTTAAAGAGTTTAACAAAGTTGATTTTTCGGTTTAAATTTACCAATATTAAGATGACATATATACAGATATGAATGATGTGATAGTGAACAAAAGAATAACAAATAAAGAAGGCCAGACTCGTCTTTAGTTCACTGAAGGTCAGAGGAGGAATAACGCTGCCACATGTTCTCTCTGAATATATACTACAAGTTTGATCAACCTGATTGTAACATCCTTCTTTATGTCAACAAGGCACTGATGAGCTACACGTGGTATTGTTTTTGGAATATGATGAATGACATTCAAAGCTCTACTACCATTCATGTGATGGTCTGTGTCCACTAGGTGGGCTAGGACGCAACTTTTTACTACCTTCACTTCACCCTTTCCAAAGCAAGCTGGGTAAGTGATCTCGTATCCAAGGATACATATACCCAATCGTACGCCATATGTAACTACTTTCACAGGAACAGTTAAATTAATATATATAAGATGAAGAGTTATGATTAGGTAGACTATCGTTGAGTCTCGGCTTCAACATACGCCGACTGCTGAATGATTTAGAAAGCCGACCCTTATAAAACGTCCTACTGACTGCTGCAGCTAGGCATTGTGTTAGGATTCGACTTACATTGTATCCCTTGAATTGTAAGCTTAAAAACGAAGACTTCTTATCCATTGTCATCAGGAATCTAATACTGTATGAGAAGCTTCTTTAAGCGATGGATATCTTGAAAGATGTACTCATAGAAACTTGAAAAAACAAACTATACACCCCTCTATCACCGAAGTAAGGAAGAGTTTTGCAAAGTTCTCAGGATGATATCTGGCTGAAAAAAACAACTGGATTTTCAAATCCATACCCTGAACTGCGAGGATCTTCCATCGTTGAGAATTTAGTAGTTACAGGGGATATTTCAGTTGAATAACTAAAGAATCGTCTGGCTACATGATATGAATGTTCTTTCTATTCTAACAGCTTGTGCTTTATGTCCCCGGATTGAATTTTCTTTTCATCACTATCCAAAGGACAGTTAACAGAATATTTTCACTTTTATTTCACATGTTTCTGTCGAGTGAACTACACTGCGTGTAGAAAACAGAGACGCCAGTAACTTATTGCAGAACACTATGTGGTTTTGTATTGAAGAACAACATCCTCAGTGTGTAAGCAACCTTTGTGGTTAGGCTGTTTAACTCCTTAGGTATCATCCATCCTATAAAGTGGTTTATATGAGGAAACTGAAATATTTTTAAAGCCTTAAGCTTTCACCACTTCACATACTTAAAACCTAAAATATTCTTAAGTTTGTTGTAAGCCTAACTAAGATTAGACGTAATGCAGCTTCAGAACCAAAGTCTAGACATGCATATCCCTCTTGTATTGATCATCTGTGTTACCTGGCCTTTAGCTCAGCGTTTTCATCTGATCTTGTTTTGGAAAATATTTACCTAGCAAAACTATGTGTTGTGTTCAGTGCTTAAGTTAGCCAAAAGATGAGTTTCGTATTTTGAAAAGCTTTTTTACCTCAAAAAAGGCATCTTTTGAAATGCATGTGATGAATCGCCTAGTGTAAAATTATTTATAAAATCACTACAATTTTCGATTATTACATAATTAATGGTGTAGAGATGAATCATAATTTAGTTAAATCACCGTTGCCTTCGTAGTATAGGACGTATTCCGTGGTGTCACCATGTTAGTAATGCAGAAGTTAGGAGTAGGGTTTTGGGGAGAGGAGGTAAGTCAGTTGACGAGGTTGCGAACCTTCATCGACTGAGATGGTTGGGACACGTACTACGTATGCCTAGTCACCGATTGCCTCGTCACACAATGTTGGCTGAGGTGGGTCCAGGCTGGAAAAAGGCCCGAGGTGGCCAGACTAAAACATGGCATCAATGTATGAAGTCTCTAACTGTTGGTTTAAGCCATGTGGGACGATACAGACTAGGTGGTTGGGGTCCACGGGAAAAGAGGAACCAGTGGTTGGAGACCCTAGGTGATATGGCTCAGAACCGAAGTCAGTGGCGCAGATGTATACACACATTATCCGTATCTTAAACGACGCTATACCGAATCTCATCATTTTGTCACTCCTCTTTCCTTTCTTCTTGTACTTTATATTTCTTTTGACTGCATTCACTTATCTTCATCCTTCACCTCACTACCTTTTTACTTGATGAACTGATGTGAGGTGTGGCAACTCGGACCGTTACGCAGTAATGCCTGGTCCTATGTTGATAATGATGATGATGATGATGACATGTATACTACTCACAAGTAACTATATATGTTTTATAAAAGTGGTTGAAATGAAATATTCCATTACATGGTATGTGGTATATTTTTAATTGGCAGAAGTAGTGCTGCATAAAACTGGAACAAATATAAACTGCTATAGATCACAAAAAGTTTAAGGCTTGCTTGCATTTCTAAGGATTATTACAATTCTATGTAAACATGAAGTTTAGAAACTTCCTCACCAAAACCCTCCCTTAATATTACTGTACTGTACTGTACTGTACTGTACTTTACGGTTACTCATGCCAAGTAATGTAAACTCTTTCTCCAATGAAAATCGTTTAAAAAACCATTTGCCTACTAACGAATCGCCAAATAAAGAGCTCTATCAAACTGTTGTGTTGTCATGTCTAAGAATTAGAGCAATATGAGAGGAGTTATGATATAATCTAATCAAATCAGTAGTAACACTCCAGTCATCCTGTTCCGTAAATTTAGGTAACTAGAAAAAAACTATCCACAACACCAGGTAACCGTATCACATCTTTGTAACGAAAGTGATCAGCATTATAATCGAACAAATTCACAATTTGAAATGTACTCACCTTGAAGAAATGTCAATAATGTAGGTGAAATTTGTTAGTTCACACACCTCCCATTCATTGCATTCTATCTGTTTGACTAAAGCCAAGTCTGAACCCATAATTCAAAGATTGTTGATTAAAACACTAGGTGGGGAAATTTACTTCCTATACATAACTTCATATTCTTCATTTATTTCTCCTTTTTAAACATTTAGCCCTAGCTGATTTAGAACCGGATGTACAAGCCTTACAAACTTCAGCTTACAGTAGTATGATCCCATTATTTCAAGCTCAATGTGCTTTAGAAGAAAATTGCTTTCCACCGAGTGTATACAATCTTATTAATAGAAATCGAAATTTAGCTTTAATGCATATGCGTCGTTTATTGCGTTTCTCCTCCATTATACACAATGTTGGAACACAGGTATTTCGTCCACATGAACCACCTGAACGATGGATATGGCATGCATGTCATATGTAAGTTTGTATATATGCTGCTAACCGAAAGTATATTCATGCTTAATTACATGGATACCACCTGTAATTTTATAAACTAAACACTATAAATTAGTTGATTGTAAACAGTATGATATTAACAAGGACTTCAGTTACATTCTACTGCAGTTACAAAAAAAACGTTACAACACTAATTCATTACTGATAGTAATCGATAGCAATAAACAAATATGTCAATCACTATTTCAGCATTGTTATTCTCTGTACACATGTGATTTAACTATCATTAGTAGTAAAAAGATTACATTGCAGCTTGAAATATCTTGGCTGTATTGTGTTCTCTGAGCTGGATTGCCTAATAATGAAGCTTTCATAGTCTTGCTAGACGACATCATCAGCAGACCACAGGATGCAACAACCAGTGAAGACAAACTGAATAACATTTACAAAATCAACTACAATAACTGTAGTCAACACTACATTGGACAAATCGACCGCCCTCTTCACCTTCGTCTATATCAGCACCAATTAGCTATTAAACACCACGACATTTCGTCACTCATTTCAATGCACGTGGATAACAACTATGCACATGAATTCAATTTCGACAATACAGAAATTTTGGACGGAGAGAGGAAACAAAGAATATCAGAGAATTCCTAGAAGCTTGCCATTCACGTCAGTCAGTCAGTCAACAATCAACAGATTCATACACACATAGACCAAATCTATCAACCAATAAGAAAGATGATAAACGACAGAAAGGTCAGACAGAGATCAGGTCAAGCAGAGGAACAGCCAACAGAAAAATCTATACACTCTGTCAATGACACAACAATCGAAGGAAACAACCAATCACAGACCACATCGTCACAGCAAGCTACTAAATCACTCATGGAGAGATATTGACAGCTCACTACTTCATACTGAAGTCATTGCTGTGAATGATGTCGTCTAGGAGGAAGATGATGAAAACTTCACGATTAAACAACCCAGCTCAGAGAACACAATACAACCAAGACCATCCACCTGACCTACAAATATTCTCCATTATTTTAACTTGAAATATGGTGAGTAGAAAGTTTTAGTTAGATGGAATCCATGAGATGGATGAAGAAATAAGGACAAGACATTCCTGTACCTAAATAAACAGGCCTGCTTAAACCTTAGGCTACCACCTACCATCGACTATATATATATATACTTCATCAAATTCTTTCTTTTTTGTTGGTTTTAATCTTTTAAATGTATAATGTACTTTAGCACCTTGTTGAAAAGTTTCCACACTGTCGTTTCTCAATCTAAAACTGAAACGAAAAAACACGTTGCGCTCTATGCAAATTGATAAATAAATGCTCAAAATACAATACAGATTTTTTTTATACTGGTTGATTGAACTAACGCCGCTAATAACTACACTCGATTTTGTATTCATCCCCAAGTTCAGACCAGACGCTAATGTAGCGCCAGTTACCCATCTCACAGTAATCTCTTTAATACCGTTATTATTAACACTATTCAGATGGGCCCTCCAGTATAACCCAAAAGGGGAAATGACAAGTTGGGAGTCCAAGGAGAGGGTGACATAGAGGAGATCATGTGAGGAAGAAATGAAAGCTTCTGGTAAGCCGTGGAGCCAGGTTGAAAAGATTTCAGAGAACAGAGTGCACTGGAGACGTGCTACTGAAGCCCTATCTCCCACTGGGAACCCAAGGGATAAATAATAATAGTAATAATAATATTGTTTAGAATAAAGCGATTATTATTATCATATCACCAGATGGCTATCAGACAGTATCATAGCAATCACTAAGTACTTCATGGAAACAGAACACTGAATGAATACCTTACGGAATATTTTTTAAAGCGAAACATGTCAAGTTTTACTACGTTGTGCTAAAGCTCTGAAACCAAATTTCTATTTGATCAAAGTACGTAGAACGAAACTGTAATTGATCTCTCCTTATCCTGACAACCGTATATGATTTTAATGGTCTATTCATCATAGGATTATTTCATTATTTAGAGCTCAAAAGTTGTTGAACACTTCCCTTCTTTTATACTCAGGTTTGGTTCCATTTATTTAACTAGTCTGGAATTCGATTTTTAAGTTTGTAGGTATGTAGTGATTTCAGGTTGGTATTCATCATGAAATGACATCAGTTGGAGAAAAACACTGGAAACCTGAGAGTCCTGGACAGATGTTTCGTCCTAGTATGGGACTTCTTAGCAGTCCGCACCCACGGTCCAGCCAGGGATCTAACAGAGGACCTCTACGTTCCGTAGCCAGAACGGAATTCATAGGGATTTCGATTACTACTTTCTTCAGTTCATTAGAAACAGCACTTAACTCTAACAAGTGATCTTCGGAGGGTATTTTTTGAAATTCTACTGGGAACCAAGCTTCCATTCAATTTTACTTCTAATCTCTATACATATAAATCTGTTCGCTAAACAATAGAATCAACAAAAGTATAATTTACATGTTATTGGTAGGAGGTAATAATTGAAGATGGAATGAAAACACGAGTCACGATGGGACTCGAACCAGAACCATTCTCCTTTCATACATGTTTGTCTACAATCAATACCACTTTATATATATATATATATATATATATATATATATATATATTCACTTGCTCTTCCTATACCATTTAGTATGGAAACTTGAATCTGAGGAAGATTCTAAGTTGTTCTGCCTGTATATATGCCTATGAATTCATCCTTCTCGAATTCATCAAGCTAATAAGAAGAGATACAATATTTCATTTTGACTAATGTCTGTCTATGTTATATCTGTGAATGTTCTCTCATCATCCTTGGTTCTTTTTTAATCTAGGCATTATCATAGTATGAAAGTATTTTCCTATTATAAAGTAATCAATGCTAAGCACCAACTAATGGCTGTCGGTCATAAAGCCAGTTTTTGTCTAGAGGATAATGCTTGCAAAACTGGATATAAAAAGCATTTTGTCTGTTCCACAACACTGGTAACACGCGGTGATCAAGGTAAGCATAGCATTAATATAGTGTTTATTAAACTTTGCTAGATAATAGGCTTTACATTAACGAAACATGCTTCAGTAGCACGAGTGATTCCACTTTACTTGTTTCTCATCTTCACCCTCAATCCGTCTACACCGTGGTGACCAGGTGGTTTATAGCACCTCACGCTTGAAACAGACTTATCAACTTGAAGAAAAGTTGCAGGAGCGACATCAAAGTCCTATTCAGGCTTGGGCTGAATGCTGGGTAAAAGGCGGTACTGTAGGTCAGTCGAACAGTGATTCAGAGTGTTTTGACCAAAGTTTCTAGCCACCTGTCAAGGACGAATCATTTTCAGTAATGGCCCACCATCGTATTCTTGCTACTTTCTCTAATAAGTCTACATCATTGCCAAGAAATAACTTGTCCATCAATTTAGCTATCCACGATTGTTGGTCGTCACTGAGAAAAACGCTTGACCAATTTACGTTTGACCTGCTTTGGCTAATTACCGTGTTCAGAGCCGAATGTAATCAGTCTTCTTGCATCAGTCAGTTCGGATGAGTTTGCGAAAATCCAATTTTGTTTTCCAACCATCGGATGTAGGTTACTAACAATTTTTAACGCTGTTTCTACAACGTTTCATCAGGACAAGAAGTGCTGACATGTTCACATAAATACTGTAGATGTCTTTGTGACTGGCTGAGCTCCTGTACGTTGGTTCTCAGGTCACCCACTAGAATGGCCATATCTAATTGTTTCGTTTCAAGTAGTCCAACTGATGGCCTTCGGAAGAACCTATCCTTTCGATCATCCCGACTATAGTCGACGGGATAGCAGGTGAAGATTAAAAATAGGCACTGATGAGTGTAATGATCTTTCGCAGTTCTATCACACTTATATAGTTAAGCAACACACAAACTGATATCAAACGGCATCCAGTCTAGAAATCCGCTTCCTGATCTACACCAGTAAGTTCATAGGAACTAACCATTGAATTTCTAGATAGTGTGAATTTTGCAGTTTCACCATACTGGCCTGCTGAATGAACTACACTAGAGTCCTGCATATGTGTCTCAGAAACAACACACATCCATGAAACCAGATTCCTAGTAAAAGACGTGTGTTGTCCGATTTGGCATAGGGTTCGAACGTTGAAGCCTCGAATGTGAAATGTATAGCGTGGTTTCGGGAAACTGGGAATGGCATTTTTCTGGTTCACGTAGTTAGCAATGGTTTCAGGGTGAGGTTAAGGAAGTTGTAGTAGGCTTAATGTTGGTAACGAGAAGTAAAGTCAAAAGGGACAACATAGTTACGGTAAGTAAGGTCATAGTTAGTTGGGTTCAATATGCGGCTAGAAGCTTGACAGCAATCGATACTTTCCGGCTGCACACATTGCATGAGTTACTTCTGTGACGTACTTCAAGGAGAAACGGAGTTAGTTCAGCATGACCGTAGAACCAAGGGATATCCGCTTGAGGCCGGTCACACATAGTTTTTCAAGAAGCTTGAGATTTAACTTTGTACTGAATCCAGTTGGAAAACCAATACCCCCGACACTGAAACACCGCGGAACACAGGAGAGTGTCCTATTTTAGGAGTTAACAATTTTCAATCCTTCTTCCTATAAAAACAAGTAGCATGAGAATGGACTGCTGGTTATCCACTTGAACCACCTTACTGTTCAGTCACATAAAGTCTTATAAAAAGGCGAAAAGGTCAAAGAAACATAGAAATGTGACATTATAACTGAGATGTAAATAACATGTGGATGCACTGAACCATATAGCCTTCAGTCTCCAACCACTGAGCTTGCTTGTCACGCGACTCCAACTAAGCAGTGTCTCCACTACCCACATACAGCTGACACCGACAATCAGAAACTTTATCAATTGACGCCATGTTAGCACCTGGTCACTTTTAACGAACAAGACTTACTTGGCATTACATTCATTTGGTAATCCTAAGGTCATTAGTTCGTATTCAGCTGAGATAGAGGCGTTTTTTCAACTTTAGTTATCCCCACATATACATACATATATATGTTGAATGAGATGTTTTTTCTAAGAGAATATAAAGGAATTACTCCTTTTATTATCATCATTATTTTTTACAACACAAGGTATCAGTCCTGGCTGTCAAGATAATTACTTCCACGATTATGATTGTCAATGGTTAGATATCACCGATTTAAGTCCCGGTGAATATACATTTCAATTGATTTTGAACCCAGACTTTTTAGTGCCTGAAATCACCTATGATAATAATGCAATTCAATGTCGTCTATCTGTTGGACATACACACCATCATTATGCTATGTTATCAAAGTGTCGTTTAATGCATCCCTATGATTTATGAATACACGTATTCACACACACACACACACACGCGCACACACACACAGTCAGACTTAGTAGTTGTTGACACCATATATTTCACATCAAAAGAACAAAATAATCATGTTATATTGCAACTATTATTTAATTTAGACACCTTTGATGTTTGTTATGCAACCACTTATGAGAAAAAACTTAACTCAAAACTTAAGGGTTATTGCATATTATGCCTTTATTCCAATGTTATTATGAACATTTATCTATATTCAATGTTTTTTTCAATAGAAGATAGTACACAACAATAAAAATGCGTCAGTTTTGATTATTTTCAACCTGAGCACATTTTACGCATACATGCCATATGAGATATGATGTGAACTGTTTAACAGCAGACAGTGATAAGAACTTTACACTGCTTACCTCTTTACTTTGGTTAGTAAAGATCAGTAATGAGTAACTTGTAACTGTGAAGAGATAAGTGCCTTCATTATTTCTTTCGTTTGTGAAAATCCTCGAAGCGTTTGTAAACTAGCACAGACAGAAAGATGGAATAAATGTAGAACCTCGCATACAAGTGCATTGCTTCAATTTGCTACACTTCATAATAGAGTAGGATACAAAGAATAAGTGGACAGAAAAAGACTAATGCCAAGGTGGAAAAAGTTGAGTGCGAATATTTCAGCTTTAGAAGATGTCAAGGAATGAAGACATCTGAGTCACCGTAACTTGTATTCAGTCAAGTTACCAAGAGTCCTCAACCACCGATTCCCATCATCTCGAATACTCCAGTCAGGGACATCATAGACTAGTGCCAGGTCTAGGTCTGATCACACTCAACCCTCTCCCAACCTGACCCAGCTCCCTCGAAAAAGATATCTGGAGGTAGGTGGTGGATAGGGATAGGTATGTGCAGCAAACGTCTGCGAGGTATCAAACGATGAAGGTACACAACCTCACCAATTGACTTGCCTAGTACCCTACGCTTGACTTCAACATTGCTCACATGATGATTCCACCAAATATGACCAATACTAAGAAGATATCTATGATCAAAACCCTGTAATCGCTTCATGTCTTCTACTTTCAACGGCCATGTCCCAGTCGTACAACGGAACACAAGGGACTTCAGCGCAGCTTACTCATCCTATCACAGTCGGATATCTTGTCAGTTGACACCACAGATGACGTCAGTTGTCAAAAGCCGACCGGGCCCTCTGTATCCAACCTGAGATTTCGTCAGTAATCATCCCGTTCGGGATGAAGCAATTCCCCAAACAATTGAAGTGGTCGAAATATTCCACCATTTCACTCCCCATCATTAAACTAGGAGTACTTACAGCAGACCGGTAGTCTTGTAGTATCATCTTACATTTGACAGGCGCCAGCTAGACGCACGCCAAACATACTCAAATTTCGGTCCAACGCATTCAGAAGACCCTGTATTTTGTCAGCGTCTTCATCTAGCAGGACAGTATCGTCTGCATACCCCAAGTTAACGGAGTAGATCAATCTTTATGAAGTCAGGGATTGATCTAGCACGAGAAAATTCGTTCAACAAAACCCTCTGGTTATCACTCAACTGATGTTGCAGTATGATACATTGAAGTTTTATCTGAGGTCTCATTTGACCTTGTCTGTGTGACAGTGATACAATGAAAGAGAGTGGACCACAGTGGGATACACTCAGCAATTAATAGACATTCAAGTAGTGCACTTGCGCTATTGTTGATATTAGCCAGTGAAAACTAACTTGATCTTTTACACTCCCACACACACATAAGTGGGGCATTTAATGCATTCAGTCACTTGCTACTCATCGTCAAATGAAGCACTGAGGGAGACTAGCTTGAATTCAGGTGAAAAGAAACAAATGCCAAACAATCGTATGCTGTCATTCACAACGTGCACAAATGACTCTTGTTTAGTTTTCAATAGTGTATTATATCCAGTTCCAAGCAGAGATGTCGAAAGACGATAGTGTCAAACAGAAGTTATAAAATGAAAGCATTTTATTTAAATATCCACCTTTTTGCTCTCTGATATTAATAAAATCACTATATATATGCGTAGAATGTACCGTACATCAAGTCCACAGAAGAATACACCTCAGTAAAAAGTAACCAGTAATAATGAAAAAGGCTAATACTACCATTTAAGAGTAAATGGATAAAATTATTTAAAAAATAAATTACACAATATGAATTTTATGTATTTGGTTCATTGTAAGAAAAGTGAAAGAAAAATTGACTCCATCTCCTGAAATATTTGGCTGCATTGAATCCATTTTGTAAGGTAAAACTGATGGTGATGATAATGAACCGAATGGTAAAGGCTGTGAGGCAGTACCCAACTGAACTCTACTCAAAGGTAGTAAACGTCGAGATCCAGTACTACTGCTACTTAAACAACCATAATTTGTGTAATATCGGCTGTAAAAAAAAAGATGAAACTCAAGAGTAATTCCGATCAAATAACATTAATAGTAAGCACGTTGCTAATAGAAGAAATTTGATGACACACAGTCGCTGTACATTTTACAAGAGAATTTATTGACTTCACGTTAGTTCTAACTACGAACTAACATCAGCTGGAGAAACATTGGAAACATGTTTCGTTCTAGTACGAGACACCTTAGCAGTGTGCACGCATGGCCCCACACTACAGGGACCGAACCAAGGACCTTCAGGTCCCACGGTCAGCATGTTACCACTGAGCCACTGAGTCCCCATCCATTGGTTCACACTTTCCTACTTCTGTCAGTTCGCTGTATAGCTTGACCTCCATCCAATCCCGTCGCTCAGTAACTGTCACCTAGTCCGACTTGGTTGGCAGCACCGGTCACCACTTTTCATTAGAACTTCGGGAATCTCATCTCGAAGCAAGTTACCAATAAACACTAGATTATATCAGTTTGGAGGTTTGTGGAGATTTATTTATTTATTTCAGGTTGGTATTTTTCATGGACTGACATTAGTTGGAAAAATATTGGAAACTGACAGAAGTATGAAATTTGGACCATTGGATACTGACCCAGTGGTCCAATAGTAAAGTGTTGACCACAGAACCTGAGATCTATCCTTGGCGGGGTTATGGGATGCATACTGTCGAAGAGTCCAACACTAGGATGAAACGGTTGTCTAATACTCCCAGGTTTCTAATGTTTCTCCGACTGATATCAGTCCATGATGAATACCAACCTGAAATAAATAAATAAATCTGTACCAATTTCCAAATGGAAAAGAATTTACATTTTATAGTTAACCGTATTCAAAATTCCAGTTGATAATAATAATAATTTGATGCAATATACTCGACTATAGAAAAAGATAGGCCAGAGTTCAAACAGGCCGCCACTCATGAAACGAAGCAAGTTGATGTCAAATCAACTAGAATGTTTCTTAATAGCCAACAGAATATAAAATGAATGTTTTTTTTTAATTAAATGATAATCTGCTAATTACTTTCAACATATTAAATCCCTACAAAAAAACTAGAAAAAGATAACAGTCCTGTAAACTTGTTCTAAACTCTAATGGGATACAAGTTTGAAAGCCAATTAATCAATCTAACGATGGTAAGGATATAAAGATAGAACCATAAAAAGTACATCCTGACATATCGAAAATTGTATGATTTCAAACATTTGAAGATTATCATAATATCAATGTTAAGAAAATAAAAACGAAAAATATTCTCTTTTCAATAAATCCTTATCACATTCTACTACAATGACAAAATATAATTGTATAGAGTAAATATAAGTCAAGATTGAGGTGATAAGTACATTTTTAAAGGGGATATGAATTAGGAAATTTAAGAAAGTCGATTTTTCGCTTTAAATTTGCCAATATTAGGTGTTTTATTGACTCTACTTTCTGAAATTTACTTTCCTCTTGAAATATTGAATCCATTTCTCTTTAAATTTGTCGCTATTAACATGACATATATATAGATATGAATGATGTGATAGTGAACAAAAGAATAACAAATAAAGAAGGCCAGACTCGTCTTTAGTTCACTGAAGGTCAGAGGAGGAATAACGCTGCCACATGTTCTCTCTGAATATAGACTACAGGTTTGATCAACCTGATTGTAACATCCTTCTTTATGTCAACCAGGCATTGATGAGCTACACGTGGTATTGTTTTTAGAATATGATGAATGACATTCAAAGCTCTACTACCATTCATGTGATGCTCTGTATCCACTAGGTGGGTTAGGACGCAACCTTTTACTACCTTCACTTCACCCTTTCCAAACCAATCTGGTAAATATTCTGCTGCTTAATCTTACCTCCAATGTAACTAGTTCCACAAGAACAGTTAAATTAATATATACAAGATGAAGAGCTAAGATTAGGCAGGCTATCGTTGAGTCTCGGCTTCAGTATACGCCGACTACTGAATGCTATATACAAAGCCGACCTGCGTAAAACCTCCTATTGACTGCTCTTAAGATGCCTAAAGCATTGTTACGTACTACATTCTAGCGTAACTTTGCATAAGAAAAGTATATTCAATTCTCCTTAATAGCATAAATTATCGGCAGCACAACACATTCTACCTAAATATTATTCTCAACTGGATTTTTCATCTACGAAGCGATGAAGCAAGCTTTGAAGAACCAAATAAAATGGTTTCCTTACCTTTTTAATAATGGTTGATTTTCTGTCAAAACTTTTGACGTAGGCAGATTGAATGAACGACGCTGGTAATCAACAACTACATTATCATCTGCCGTGCTTCCAGTATGCATATTTTCATGCAGCATTGTAGGTGAATGTGAATAATCCAAACTAGTTGCAGAATTTACATTTGCATTTAAGTAAGACACATGAACTATATGTGGTACATAACACAGGGTTTTTGAACTTGGCTTAGCATCACCACTCAATGAAGGATAACTATCGCTAACAGTATTGGCACGATTCAAAACATATGTACTGGTATATGGCAGCTCTGTATTTAATGTGTTGTAGTGTTGAAATTCAGTTAATTCACGTGCATCTTGTAAGCGTATCAGACATAATGTCAACAGACCGAAACAAACACTTCCAACAAACCAGATAACAAGAACAAGAATATCTAAATTTAAAACAAAATATATGTATATTGAGGTAATTTGTTTGGGAAATTATTATTTTCACAATAATAAGGACTAAAATTACTATTTGGTATTTTCCATACACTTTGTTAGATTTACTTTGCATATCGCCATCGTTTCTGCGAACCTCGTTAATGCCTCGCTGACTGTTTTTATCGAAAATTTTGAAAGTTGTTTAAACAGTAGTCTCTGTGACTAATCTCTACAATATTTCTCGCTATACAGAAAAAGTAGTTTACCTCTCATCTATGCTTTTCGAAGTTTCACATTCTATTTGTTCTTGATGACATTTAGGTACATGCTCCCCCGTCGTCAACTGAATGGCTTGATGGTTACTCCTCTTTTCATGTATATATCCACATACACACACACACACGTATGTGTGTGGTTCGCTGCATGATCCAGTCGACCACAATCAGGAAGATTATTGGTGATAGTAGGAGGAAGCCTTGTCTTACTCCAGTCTTCACTTCAAAGGCGTCACTGAGCTTTCCATTGTGAATTACTCGGCATGTAGCATCATATAGCATATTGCTGTTGAATGAGGTTGATAAAGGTTTGTGGCACTAAAACCGTAGTGTTGAAGCAGCTGCCTGCCAAATTACTTCTCTTTCCGTGCAATCTTCACTTCTTTGCCTAGTGTACTGTTTCATACGTTGTACTCAGCTCCTCTTTTCGTTGTTCATCCTTGCACTGCACTGGTTCATCTTCTGCTACACCATCTTCCTCTCTCTGCTCTATCAGCTTCCATGTATCCGTCGAGATCCATTCCTTGTCTTGTTTCTTCTTCCTTCCTACCACGATTATGCAGGTTTCTTTCTATATAGCTTTCAAAGAGTTCCAGTGTTCTTCCACACAGGTTTCCTGGAGGATGTTCCTCAATATCTCCCATTTTGTCCTGATGACTTACGCGAAGATGTTCTTTGTAGTTTCGTCCTTCAGTTTCTGTAATGGGTGTTCAACTTGAACTGTGGTCTATCACCAACTTCTTCGAAGGCTTTCAACTTGATTTGGAAGGTGGGTTGCTTACACTTAATAGTGAATGATCTAAACCTAAATCTGCTCCCCTTACTGATCTGATCTTGTGTCCAGTAGGCTGCGTCTCCATCTCCACTTTCTTCACATTGAGATGAAGTCGATTTGATTTCTAGTGTGTCCATCTGGTGAATTCAACTCCATGTCGCTTTGTGAATATTCTTGTGTTTGTACACACTGCCTCCATGAACGCGCAGAAATCTGCAAACAGTTCTCCATTCTCGTTCATCATTTCATCGACTGCTTCTCAACCCATGATGAGTTCTCTTCCTGTGTTGTCCGCTCGCAGTTTGGTATTCATGTCACCCCAACCATTAAAATTTTGGTGTCGCCAGCTTGAGTGGGGTTCTGTCCAGTACTGATTGCAGTTGTCTACAGAATTCCTCCTTCTTCTCTTGATCTGCATTATTTGTAGGTGCACAGCGTAGCATTGTGTGACTGTCTCTTTCTTTCCTTTTGATTTAAATCTTGCTATCATGATCCCGGTGGAGGAGATCATTTCCCACTGCTTGAAAGCCTTCTATGCTCTTGAAAACATCGTGATAGCCACTTCATCAGTGTGCTCGTGGTTGTCGTCTGGGTGACTGGAGCAGATTATCGACTCTCCAGTTAACAGTTTGGAGAATCCACTTCCACTCCATACCTTTTCATCTCTATCTCAATCTAGGCAGCCTAGCTAGGTTCATACATGGTGCGGACATTCCATGTCCCCATCCTTGCTTTCGCTTTCATCGAGATAGGAGAAGACACATCGGCTGACTGGCTTCCCGAAGATTTGCAGCAACCAGTGTCATTTTGTCTCCCCGATTCAAGCGGGGAATATGTTTGTTTTTATGTTTTATAATTTCTTTGTGCTTTGAAGTTTCTTTAGCGATTCGATTGGTTTTACTGGGTAGGGTCACTAGCCCCATGCCCAACCTTCCCTCTTTTTCCGGGCTTAGGGCCGGCTAGTGAACTAGGCGAGGTTTCTTGGTGACATAGTAGTGATTATTACTCATTCATCTTTTGCTTAAATTCTTCTCACAGTTATTTCACGTTATGTTTACAATTATCGCCTTGCCAAACTGTGTGACTACTTACCACTCTAATCATGCAAAAAATTATCATCTTAACTTTATACATAACCTTCCTATATTTATTTGCTTTACTCCAGTTTTACACTTCAAGCTTTCCTACTCCCTCTTAATAGATTACGGATTTGACATTATGAACCGCATTCATCTTTACTTGTTTCATCAATTGCTGATTAATAGCATCTACCACTAGGACAGAAAGCTTACTACTAGACTGGATCTCAACGGTAAAATTACACGGAAAAAAGTAAACAGTTTGGGCAAAAACGATTGTTACAACATGAGACATGATGGTGTATTCGTGAAGAGGTAACAAAATTTACACTGACTAACAGGAAGAACACTAAGCTGTCGGATAACATCAAGAAAGCCATGGAATGTAACAGGAGATGAATGTGAAAAATACTTATAGACAACTTGTACTGCACTCACTAATTTAGCCAAATAGCAAAAACTACTCAAGAAACGATCAGTTAATCTGATTATTCTGTCCATGATAGTCTAAGATGACAGATTACTTTTCACATTCAAAATTAAAACAAACAAACTCCAAGTTGTTGATTGAAACTTAAACAAGCTGAACTACAAGGCCTAATTGTTAATGCCATACACATTTAGTGTAATTTATCAATGGCATTGACCAGTTTTGAGTTAAAATAAAAGGTAAACAATTATCCACTATTCGTCAAAATATGTTTTCTCATTCTAATTTGAGTTCAGTTGATTTTGAGCTATATCGCTGAAAGTCAGTAACCATCGATTCTTATCGTCACCAGGACTCCAGTCAGGCATTCTACACCAACCAACACGGCTCATGTCAAGTATAAGGGATAATGGACTGATGCCACGTCTTTGTCGAGTTTCCCTAAGCCTTTTACCAACCCGATCCTACTTCGGCTAACATTGTTCGTTGAGGTGAGCGGTGTTTCAACATGCCCAATGCCTGTTCAGTCACTTCAATCGCTGAAACTTCACAGGTTCATCGGCTGACTTGACTTTCTTGTCTAGTAACGTTTTCGTAACCTCAGCATCGATTGTGAAATGATTCCACCGCATCTACGATGTAAAAGAAAAACAACCTTTTCATACCTCCTATTTACAGCATAAGCTGTGACTCATTGGTTTAGAAAGACGACTCTCAATTAATGGGTTACGCGCCCCAGCCTCGTTCCACCTACTGAGGTTTGGGCAGACAGGTGGTAGTATCATTAGCCCTCACACAATAGATGTGGCTCAATGCCTACTGAGTGAATGTGCACAATGTTATTGAGTGGGTTTCCATTTCCATTTTTCGACTTATAGTAGTCATGCTTCATGACAGTAGACAGCCGCACAGCATACTTGACTGTTGACAAGTAATTAAAAGTCTTGCCGGAGATATAAGTGAGGTCAGTTGGCAAATGCCAAGCTGAATTCAAGTTAAAGAATGGGAATTTTGCAAACAATCACTACAGTTGATCAAGTTTAGCGCTCACAGCCTAGACCACGTCAATCAGTACGTGACCAATCTGTATTACACATAATAGTAAGACAAAACGAATGAGCAAAGTGGCATAAATACATTTGGAAATAATAGAAATATTACCCATCACCGACTGATATCATCTGGGGTACCTTTGAAAACCTGGGAGCACTGGACAGCCGTTTCGTCCTAGTATGGGAATCCTCAGCAGTATACATCCACGACCCAGCTAGGGATCAAACTCAGGACCATCAGGTTTCACGGCGAACGTGTTAACCGTTCAGCTACTAGGTCGGAGTTCAGTGGTTTGCAGTTTCCAACTCCTGTCAATTCATGATAGTGGGTGCGTACTGCTGAATAGTCAAATACTAGAACGAAACGGCTGTCCAGTGCTTCCAGGTTTTCAATGGTTCCCCAACTGATGTCAGTTCGTGATGAATACTGCCTCTACATTAAAATGCCCATTCATTTCAAAAATAAAAAAATATTATCGTTATATATTATGGCTATAAAAAGAAATCAGCATAACAACATATATTAAACATATTTATTGATAGTAAACACATTTTTTTTCTTGAAAATTTACCATATTGACCATAGAACTCAATGCGTAAAGTATGCAGTCTTACATCGAACCAGGTAAGCATCAAAAAGTATTCAATCACAATGTGTGGTAGTAAAGAGTTTGGTATGAGAAAAAAGCTTGCACAGCACAAGGTAATGTAAAAGCCAACAAACGCAGTTGATATACCAAATGCCTAAGAATAATGTTTGGAAAGAAAACAATTTTGCATATACATATATAGACAACGAATAAATAGCCAATGTAAACAGTTTAAAATATCAAGTTCTACATTAAGCTATGGCTAATCGGTTTCGGCAATGACTTTTATGGAATGGGTCATGGGTTTGAACACCCCTCCATCTACCGAAGTTTGAGCAGTCAAGGAGTAGCATTAGCCCTCACTTACACTATAGGTGTGACTTATCGCCACCTGCATGAATGTGCTGAGTGCATTTTGTCATCGTCATCATCATCATCATCAAATTGTAAGGAAACACAAACAATTATCATTTGAACAGTGGTTGAATGAGTACAATAGTCTTACGAAAGGTTTAACGAAGAAAAGCTACATGTGACCAGAGACTAAGACAGTAATACGTATTGTGTAGGAAGTTCTAGGTTAGTTGGAGGAAGATTAGCAAAAATCTGGATTCGCTATGTGGACGACACTTTTGTCATCATTGAAAAGGATGAAATAGAAAACACCCACAGTTTGATCAACAACGTTTTCAATGACATCAAATTCACAATGGAGAAAGAGTCAAACAATCAATTACCATTCCGGGATGTTTTAGTCAGTAGGACAAATGCCGGAAAGCTGGAAATCCAAGTGTACAGTAAGCCAATACACACTGACCAAATCCTCAACTACAAAAGCAACAACACACAAAATTAGTTGCGTGCAGACTCTATTCAAAAGAGCAAGAACACACAACAGCACAACAAGCTCACAGAGAAATGAAGAAAATTACCTGATGTCCACCCTAAAGAAGAACGTCTACCAACGGAACTTTATTAGAAGATGCCTATCCCATGCATCATCAACAACAGAGTCATCGACACAAATCAACAAACGCATCGTCTTACTATACATAAAGAATATATCAGAAATCATGACAAGATTGCTGAGACCACTTGGAATTGTGTGGCTCATAAACCAACAAATTCCCTCCAAACACTATTATGCAGACCAAAGGATGTAACAACCAATGAAGACAAACCGAATAACATTTACAAAATCAACTACAATAACTGTAGTCAACACTACATTGGATAAATCGACCGCCCTCTTCACCTTCGTCTATATCAGCACCAATTAGCTATTAAACACCACGACATTTCGTCACTCATTTCAATGCACGTGGATAACAACTATGCACATGAATTCAATTTCGACAATATAGAAATTTTGGATGGACAGAGGACACACAAAGAATATCAGAGAATTCCTAGAAGCTTGCCATTCACGTCAGTCAGTCAGTCAACAATCAACAGATTCATACACACATAGACCAAATCTATCAACCAATAAGAAAGATGATAAACGACAGAAAGGTCAGACAGAGATCAGGTCAAGCAGAGGAACAGCCAACAGAAAAATCTATACACTCTGTCAATGACACAACAATCGAAGGAAACAACCAATCACAGACCACATCGTCACAGCAAGCTACTAAATCACTCATGGAGAGATATTGACAGCTCACTACTTCATACTGAAGTCATTGCTGTGAATGATGTCGTCTAGGAGGAAGATGATGAAAACTTCACGATTAAACAACCCAGCTCAGAGAACACAATACAACCAAGACCATCCACCTGACCTACAAATATTCTCCATTATTACACAACAAACGAAATAATAACAGTAACAAGAGTACGAATAATAAGGGGGGCATAAGTAGAAAGGAGTTCACAGCCTCCATTGTGTTACCTTATAAGGAAGGTACATCAGGAACTAGGTAGGATCCTCAACAAAGCTGGAATTAGGGTAACATTTAAACCTACAAACTCACTCAGAGATAAGCGTTGTCGGCTTAAAGACTCGATAGAACCAATTGAGCAAAATAATCTGATCTATCAAATTCCATGTGAGGTCAAGTACATAGGTCAGACTAGCCAGCCGGTCAGGGTCAGTCAGAATAGTCGGACATAGGAATTCAATTAAATATAGAATGACAGACCCGAATAAAATCAATAATCGGGATAAACTCAGCTATTGCATTGCATGCATTAACACACAACCACGCAATAGGATGGGAAAAAGCCACTGTACTTAAGTTTAAGGTGGGGAGAGAGAGAGGGGGAGATTGATTACTGAATCTTTGTTCATCGGATCAACACCTAACACATGTAATAGAAATGATGCAACACCAATACCAGAGATATGGAAAATTTTACTACCAATAAAAACAAATAATATGAGATGACAGGAGTATAAAAATCAGATGTCGAAAGTAGTGTGATTACATTGATATGATTATGAGCGGTGATAATTTATGCTCAAAACGTCATCAAGTAAATAATACTAGATCACTGTGTGTTATAAATCAAATAAACAAATCTAATATGGAACCGAATTCTACCACAGTGCCCGACTTTTATACCTATGTTAACCTCTACACTGCCTATACGGTGATTACACCATACACAACCAGTGTCCAGAAACTGCCACCTCCTCATGTTATCTTGAGCCGCCATATTTCACAACCATACAATAATATACAGCAGGTTGCAACGCAGTATACTTGTCATCTAGCAGTTAGTCGGATATCTTGCCAGTTGGCGACAGAGATAACGTAAGTTGGTAAATGCCAAGCCAGCTTTCTATAGCGACCTGAGATTTCATCAGTAACCAACTTCTTCATGTTGATGCATCTTCCAAAGTGAGTGAAGTGACGAATGCATTCTACCAGTCTACTCCCTACCCTTAAACTTGTTGCAGTTGTAGAACAGTCGTGAAGCAACAACTCATGCTTGGAAGGTACAAAATACATGCCAAAAATACTCAGATATTTGCTCATGGCATTCAGAAAACTTTGCATTGTGTCAGCACCATTGGGCTAACGGGGCTATTTCGTTTATGTACTCCAAGTCAATCAGACGCTCTCCCTGAGGAAACAGAAGTGTACTTTGGCTTATATATTCAACAGCACGTATATAGCGAAATTAAATAAGACTGGTAACAGCGGGTATTCATAAAGAACACTGAGCGTTGTTAATGCATAGTTGCACACAACTCCAGCAAAGATAATTCTACCTTATGAAATAGTTCAAAGGAAACAATGAATCCCTTTGATATTTTAGGTTTCACATAGATTAAGGATTTAAATTTGAACTGGAAGAACTTACGAAATTTTTGAAAAAACTCAGCAAACCAATAGGCAAAGCTGATAACATGATAGAAAAGACGAAAAAGAGACCACAGATTTGTCCAATTTAAGTAAACGATCTATAGAAGAAAAGAGTAACAGACATTTACAAATCATTGTATGTTTACCCCTGGTTGCAATAGCTTATTCAAATGGCTTTCTGTTGTCTGAATGAAATCTATAACAGGATAGTATGGAGCATGTGACATCTATGAGTGAAAATCAGTAACCTTTAAACAGCTTAAACAAAAAATATTAGAGTAAACAGTTGCTAGTTATATAATGCTTCTGTCAGCCCAATTTTCCTTTTTCCTAAGAAAATATTTTCCCTCAGATCAGATTTTCGAAGGAAATGGCACTACACGTTTTGCGGTAACCACCAAGATTCAACCGCCACCACCACAAATCATAGGAAGCGTATGAATATGTTATCCATAAGGTTTCGTAAAGTGTTTACCTTAATGCTTTATGCACCACATTTATCCTGATGACAGGAAGAAAGACTGATTCAATGAGTATTTTGACCACTGTAACCATTTTATTTCCTACAACTAAAAAATAGTCAATTATAATCAAGTAAAGCATGTACACATTCACAAGACGTTTTTTGTTCAACAGATAAACCGGTGAAAATTGCCGAAATTAAGTAGTCTAGTCACTTTATTTGGCTACTATTTTTGACCGGCTAACAATACTTCATACTTTGCGGCTAGTACATAACCAATGTGGCCGTCATTTCTCTAAAAGGAGCCCAGTCCCAAAGAACTACTTCTACAACTTACCATAGACGAGCACTTCATTTTTAATGATTATGTACATAAAATACAAATTAGTGGAATAGTTGTGTAATAACAAATCTTCGTCTCAATAAACTAAAATATGGACCACTGAAGCATGTCATCAATATTCTGGATATATTGATGCGTTATATACCAGTTCCCTATTATAAATCTCAAAAGGGACAAATGGTTTACAAAGTTTAACAATATACACCCATAAATCACTTTCACCTTCGATAAACATGAAAAGAAATTACGCTTTATGAACTCTCTGTTAATCAGACGAGATGATGGTTTGCTCAGAAGAAATGTGTACAGAAAGTTTACACCTATGTGTCACTGTATAAGTTTCCTCAGTTTAATAATCATTCGCTGAAAAGAAGAAACTTAATTACATGTCTTACAAGTAAGGGAGACGAAACTGCCTAGTTAGTGTGATATAAAAGTAGCTAGAACCTATTCATAAGGCGCTGGTCAAAATAGTTTAGCCTCATGGTTTTATCAAAAAGATACATGGACAAAATCAGGTTAAATTTTAAGTAAGTGACTGTTCAAAATAAATCCTAATTCATGAAATGAAGTCTTCTACTAAAAAATGTTTGGAGCTGCAAGAAGAACTTTCTACAATGTCAACCCCTTACTTATCATCTTCTAGTAGCCTGTTAATTGTTGTGGATCAAATAAAAAACAAACTACTTAGTTTTACCACTAGGAAGTGTGTTTAGTAGCTTAGCCGCTTCTACAGAGGAAGCTGTAACAAGAGAATTACTAAGCAACTTAAAAATAAGCTGCTGAATACCTGGCTTCATGGACAAATGAAGTGAATACAAAGCTGAATATTATCACATTCGATAATGGTCATACAGTAGACAAGCATACAGAATAATATATCTTGTATCAATAGAACTTTCAAATGAGGTTCGGTTTGTATACATACAGCTGAAGCTATGTAAGTTGGAACAGCCAATCGAAGTCCTTGTACACAAAATATTGTCATATATTTCGAGAGGATACCCCGAAGTTCTAATGAGAAGTAGTGACCTGTGGGGTCAATGAGTCGGAGGTGAAGAGGATGCCAACTGAAGGATAGTGGTGGACGAAATAACTGTTCATTGCTCCCAAGTTTCTAATGGCTCTCCAACTGATGTCAGTCCGTTATGAATACTACCTTAAGATTAAAATCCTCATTAACCTGAAAATATGTAATATGCTGTGCAAGATTTGTAGCTACTCTCTCTTTATTATATTATTATTTGTCCTTTGCGCTCCTAGTGGAACATAGGGCTTCAGTAGCACGTCACCATTTCACTCTCTTCTCCGCACTCTTTTCAACCTGGATCCACCCATTGCCCACAAGCTTTCATTTCTTCTTTACACGATCTCCATGTCACCCTCGCCTCGCACACCCAACTCGTCTTTTCCCATTTGAGTTCCACTCAAGGGCCTGGCCTGGCGCATGATGTCCCTAAACGGTTTTTTCAGTGTATGTCCGATCCATCTCCACTTTCTTCTGTATATTTGTCAAAAGATGGGTTCTTGGTTGGTTCGTTGCCAGAGTTCCTTGTTGCCTATTATGATTATTCTGGCCATCTGATCTTCAGTATCGAGCGTAGGCGGCAGCTGTTGATGAATGTCTGTAGTTTGTTGGAAATGCTTTTCGTAAAGCACTCTCTCCTTAGTGGAACAAATAATCACATTTCACTGTTTTCACCCAACTCTTTGTTCGACAAACATAATGATACAAGATCTAGAATGTTATTAATACGATGGAAAGGATTTTAGTTAAAATATAAAACTAAGTAGGATTTATGCATGACAACCCTAAAGATCAGTGCATAATAATTGATGTTCAACAACTTAAAATGGCTTATTGTGTAAATATGGCTCATTGGATTATGCATTCAACTCTCAAACATTATGTCCTGGATATTAAACACGCTTCAACTACTTCGCGACCTAGGCAACCAAGTAATACCATAAGCATTTCGACATGACGGCCTATAGCCTAGTACGCACACCTGTACCGAGCTGAGTTACAATTATTTACAACTAAAATGACTTATTCACAATAATAATAATAATAAGGATAATATTGATTTCAACAGTTTATTTCGTTTTATTGATCCAGATTGCTTCATTTTTGTCTCGAATCATATTGTTTGATAAAATATTTAGTTCATACAAGCAACTCAATAAACAGGTACAGATTATTAAATACTGGGCGACGATCTACACTTATTTTGTACGGGCTATGATTTTATTCGGGTACCTAAACTAAGGTAAATCAGAAGCGGATTCAAACTGATGACCCAAATCAGTCGTATTCTTACAATACCTAGTTGATTTAGAATAGTCATGTTTCCTGGAAGCAAGCGAATGCAGTTTGACAAGATATTTCAGTTCCAACACGACATTTATATGATTTTGTGTGTTTGCTTTTGAGACCCACGGCAATCAGTTCATTATCTTAAAAACGGAACCTTTATCATGAAATTAATGGTCATTTTCATTTGGAAATTCAATTGTTTACAATATGTTATACAGATAAAGTCATTTGATACTGACTAAAAGCTTTCTAGGTGAAAACAAGGTATACTTTAAGTAACAAGGGGAATGTCCCCTAAGCAGACAAACATTCACCCTGAAAGAAAACCAACCAATAAAGAGGTTTGTCAATATAAATATTCGAGACATACCAAGAGAGACCGCGAGAAAGGCGACGAAGATAAATGTGGCGGGTAGAACAGGAGGAAGGCGAGCAAAACGACGAGGTCTTAATTTGAAGGGTTTAAATGGACGAAGTAAACTGTCAGCAGATTTTTGATAATCTCTAGACCTCCGAAACAGTTGTATACCGCAAATCCGAAAACAACTGTCGCCTTGATTATCATCGTCACCTATAGTAGGTTGAATGGGATTGGCTGAGTGATAATTATTTGAGAAATGTTGAAGTACTGCATTATTAATTGAAAACTCTGAGGTAACATTAACTTCTTCTTGAACTGGAGGCAGTGCATTAACAGTATCTATTGGTGTGTATTCAATCGGTAGTCCAAATCCCGACGGCCCACCAACATTCGGACGGTTATAATCCAGTACATCAGAATCCCAGGGTTCATTGACAAGAACAGATGTTGGATTCTCCACCTTCACCAAAGGACCTCGTCCAAACATACGGCGATAATATAATGTAGGACGAATACAATACCACCACAGAACCACAAAAGCAAATAATGCAATGAAAGCCGGCAGAAGGGCACTCACGATCAAAATAACATAGGCTATTCAACAAAATAATTTAGTTGAAATACAACCATTATGAAATAACACGTAAGAAAAAGCTGACAATGCATGAAAAAATGACAGTAAAACTAACACGTTCAACCAAACTGTCATATTCTGTAAGCATTTGTTTAAAAAAGTAATCGAGAATATGACTACTTTTGCGATCATTTTCACCTTTGTTCACTATACTTCCCCTTAACCTGTAGATGAAGGAACTGAGCAACTAACCAAGTGACTGGCTAAAAACCATACTGATCCATTATATTACCAAATAAAAAGTTTGGCTAGTAACTGAGATTCAATGCTAGTAGTGTAAAGCATATCTCGTAGTGGATCCTGAATCAAATTACCTTTATAGATATCCAGACCATAGTTAAGTATGTCCCCAGAAACTTTACGCATCAAGCCTAGTGTTATCATGACAAAAATGTTTTTCAAAATATAATCTTGGTATTAGTATAACTGCTTGTATTATACCGCCATTGATTGGACTAATCGATCGGCCTCTATTGGCATATGCGCTCGTGTGCTGATGCCTCGATATTGCCTGGAAGGCAAGTACATCAAGCTAACGAGTCCCAAACAGGACGAAATTCGCATCGTGGATTCCACCGTTAGCCACTATCCATCATTACTATAATCTTGGTATGGTTAGAAAGTGACGACGAAATTCTCCAAACATCTCATCGTCCAAGCCTCTTCAAAACAATAATCAGATTTTGTTGAGAAATTGAAAATAGTAAGTTAAACGATTTCATGTGTCCGTCATTGGTTATCACAAATTCCTATTATCGTTATATAAATATGTAACCTGGCACTCTTTAGGCAGTAAGTCAAACCCTTGGAAGTCATAAGTGACCAGGGTTACCTACATGAATATATATGTCTACTATAAAGTCTAAGTCCAACATCTTTGACGGACACCGGTGGTTGTAATCGTTACCGATGAAAACTTGTGCTTAGGTTTTCCAACAGCCAGAAAGACATCATGGTTAAAAAAAGACATGGAATCTGGAATTACTGACCAACAGCACATTAAGGTAAAAGGTGATAAAAAGAAAGACAACCCTTAGCTATGCACATGGAACCAACACGTTCAATCCCTAGTTTTATCACTACTAAAATTCTTAGTTTAGAGCCCTTCATTTACCTGTTATTTGTTACCACTATCACTCATATTACAGCCTGGGGGGTCATCTATACAGGTGCCCGATTTTCAAGCAGCTGGTTATGGGTTTTGAACAACTAACTGTACCTACTAGGGCCTGGAAATCTACACAATATATGTGGTTCATTACTTACTACACAAACGTGCATTTGATTGCTGAGTGCATTCCGACACTGAATCTGCTAACATGGAGCTCTTAATTGCCTGTCCAACCCATCTACGTCATCACTATTATAACAATTTGAACACTTTATCATGACGAACTCCATGTTTTCTTGCCATAACTACCTTCTAGATTATCGCATATCTTTAGAGATTAGGCTCATTAGCTTGGGCATTCAATTGTCAAGCAATAGGTCTCTAGTTCAAAGCTTACTTCATCTACTTCAGCCGGGACAATCAGGTGGAGTTATAAGCCTTCACATAATAATTATGTTCAATTTGAGGGTTTGTGGGGATTTATTGATTTCAAGCTGGTATTCATCATGGACTGACAACAGTTGGAGGGACACTAGAAATCTAGGAACACTGAACAGTCGTTTCGTCTTAGTATGGGACTCGTCGGGAGTGTGCACCCATGACCCCACCAGGGGTCGAACCCGGGACTTGCAGGTTCTGCGGCCAGTACGTTACCACTGAGGCACTTGGTCAGAGTCCAATGGGCCATATTTCCAACTTCTGTCAGTTCAAGACATAACGCGACCATCACCCAATGTCATCGTGGAGTGTTTTTCCTCACGTCCACCAGGTTTTCCCCCACCGGTCTCGCTATGTCGTGAACTGACAGAAGTTGGAGATATGGACCATTAGATTCCGACCAAGTACCTCAGTGGTAAGGTGCTGGCCACAGAACCACTAGGACGAAACAACTGTTCAGTGTTCCTAGGTTTCTAGTGTCCCTCCAACTGATGTCAGTTCATGATGAATACCAACTTGAAATAGTAATTGTGGCTCACGGCCTAGTATATAAACATGTCCAGGGTTTCACAGCAATAATCTCAATAAAACTCATCTACCTATTTCTAATTTACTCCCTAGCGTTTCGCAGTGACATAATACTGTCGAAATTTCGGAGTATACTTAATTCCAAACAAGGTTTCCTAAACTATACAGTGTACGGTCCTAAATCAACCTGTTCATACATATTAAGACTAACTTCTGAATCTATGTTAACTTCCCGAATATTTTTCTGAGTTTCGATGAGGTCGCATTCGATTTTCACTCAGTTTCAAAAGCAAACTAAAAGAAGAGTGAGTATACAGGAAAGTAATAGCTCACTTAAAGTTTCCTACCTTTGGGATAACATAGATATTTTCAACACTACAGAGGATGCTTATTACTCTGCGAAAAAACCGTACCACTTAAACAGTAGTATTGAGTAGTACGATATTCCATCACTAACTCTAAATCTCACTGTGATTTATCTTATGACGTGAATCTCTGCCTTAGCTTCACCATAATCTAGAAATCAAAAGACAGGCTCCGATGGCAAAGTGGTTCAGTAGACTCAAACGATAAATAAGTATAACCACTGTTCTTTGTTGAGTTATCATTCTAGGATAGTGTAATCACACAACTTGTTGCTACAGACGGATTGGTACGATAGAGTGATAATGATAATAATAGTAATAATAATAATAATAATAATAATAATAATAACGAATAACAGTTAGTGAAAACTTAAATATCATTCAGATAATTGCTTACTATCACTGAAATTATCTGAAAATCTGTAAAAGAAAATCAATCCAATAGCTGACCCCATAATCATCATACTGACTGCACAACCTAAAATGAAGAAATCCAAGATAAATAAACAACTAGAAACATGCACAACTTGGGAGTCAAATACACCAAAATAAAAGTGAAACATATCAATGTTTTTAACCTCAACAAAATGCCTATTATCATGTTGACTACCTGAGATAGTAATGGTTTGGCAAACTAGTATTGATACCGCCAGTGTAAGTACGGTCAAGCGATAGTAACGCGTCACACACTCACATGGTAGTCGGGAGAAGCCCTTGGTAATTAAGGTGAAATAAAAACCTGGTCAGCAGTCGGGCCCCGTAGCTCAGTTGGTAGAGAGCCAGGCTGAAAACCCGGTAGTCACTGGCTCGAATCCAGCCACGGTCCAAATTTTCAGCTCGCCTTCAATCACCACCCAATATCAAAAACCCTATTATCTGAGCAAAACAACTGAGCGATAGTTCGTCGTAAATGATGGATAGTGGCTAGCAGTGGAATTCAGGACGCGCGTTTCGTCCTACTTGGGACTCGCCAGATGGATGTACCTTACTTCCAATGGGCGATGTTGTTCCCACTAGGACTAGATCTCCGAAAGCATTAAAACTGTGCTCGTAGCACAAGTAGTCATCGTGACTCAGTGGTCTGGTGGGTAACGCTATGGGGTTTGAAATAATGGGTCACGAGTTCAAGTCCTAATGGGAACCATACCGCTCACTGGGAGGGCAGGTATATCCAGTTGACAAGTACTAAGTATGACGAAATGCACATCCTAGATTTCACCGCTAGTCACTATCCATCATTAACATATGATTCAAACACAAGCAATATTAAGGTATTTGCGCAAGAACCCATATACCAATAGAGACCGGTCAATTTGGTTCACTCAACGACGGGATAATGTAAGCAACAACATTAATAGTTCATACTTTCCTTAACAGTGGTATACTCGCTTTTATGTCCTCCATCATTAATGCTATCCTAGCGAGTAGGTATTGCCATTCAAACAAATACTTCTAATGATGATAAGATGCTAATACACGTCCAAGATAAAAAATATCTGATATTAAAATGGCTCACATTATTTCACCTGGCAGTCAAAATATTAATTTACCATGTTCTACAGGAAATAAATGGATTTTTTGATCAGACGAAAATGACGTCATTTCTGACATATATCATGCACTGATGCAAAAGAACAAACAAATAGAAGCCTATTATGACGTACGTAATAATTGCAAAATAATGCAAAATGCATGCATAACCTAGCTTCGAAATAAGTACTATCGAAAAAATTCAGAGCGTTTTCATCATTCTTTAACCACCTGAGAAACAATATATCAACTATCTGAACAATAACCTAACTAATGTGATAACTCATGACACTATTCGGTCACTTAAACCGATCAAAAGCTGATATGTTGATGTGTGGGTTGGTTAGGTTTGCATATTACAACTCTACTGTCAGTGATGCTGACAACAACGATCGTCGTGCTAAGTCATAGTATATCACTACGCGCTATCAAATAATAGCTACAAAGAAGCAGGTCAGACAGAGTGAATAATTAATATTATGAAGGTTTGAGTGTCAAGTTCTACAGCTGGCCACAAAGGGAGATAACAATAAGGTATATCCACTGTATAACCAGCATTTGATGTTTTCTCTAATTCATTCTGATCCAAAACATTCTCAAACTGCCAACCAGTGTATCTAGACTGCATTTTATGAGCAGCCTCACTTCACCAAAAGTGTATCACCCATGTAGTCTAGCTTTACTAGTGAATCTTCTGTAACCAGGTCAATTCCTGTAAGGTCAGGTGGAGAATAGAAGACCTCCATGTTCACGTCTATGACGAAGTTCTTCTTCGTCTTGAAGTACCTGAAAATGATATTCGATCAGTTAAGGTGGTCGTAATGGACTGTGTGACCGGATGGCCTAGGTAACCTCTACTTGACTCGTCAGGAAGGTTCCAAAGGAGTGGGAGAAAACCTTTACCTAAACTTGTTTATCCACCTACTGAAAGCCAAACGTTCACATACGATTGTTTCGGCGAAGAACGTAAATGCATAGGTAGAAAGGTAAAGCCAAACAGAAAGGCAATTGGCTGGTACTTAGGGAATCCCAGTCGAACGAACGACTACTGGGGATCAGCTGCTACAAATATACTCAAACCACCACCCATTTCTAGCAATCGCCAACTCGACATAAAGAGGGACAATGTCTGACGTGGTGTCCACCGACATCGATGGTGAACACATATTTCATATAGCTATCACTTACCACTGGTGAAGGTCAATGAACAATTTCTACTCCTGGGGCCAATAACTACTGGACAGCAACTGCATATTGCTTTGAACACGTGTATATCTGCATCCAAAAAAATGTAGCAAAAATACAGCTACAAGGTCGTTTCAAGCGAAGCCCGATGAGGAGAATGGTACGGGTGCTTTCTAACGGTGACTAACCGGATAGTTACCGGCACACGAAAATGCTAATAATTATCAATTAGCTTAGTGTCAGCTAAGTGTGATTCGAGTAGCTATTAGGTCGTCAGGCATCAAAGCCGCATCATACCGATACTCAAAGTTGGAAAGGTATTTTCCTGGTAGCGACTCTACACCACCACACAACGAACTGTCACATACATCGCATACGCCTTTACCAAGGATGAGACCGACGACGGTCTCCTTCCAGTGATGAGACAGCCGATCTGGAAAAATGTATAGTTAATTCCCTGATTAGTCTCAAATCTATAATGAGTTCCTTACAACTCTCCAATTTATTAGATAAGTCAGTGTTAACTGACTACAGAGACTTGGGTTTAAGTTTTTGGATGAGGTCAGCTAATCAGCACCTTCAAGTTTTCCATTCGGCGTTCCACGCCCCTCTGAAAGTTGTTGATCGATAGATCATCTGCCGCATAGACCTCACACACATTAGGTTTTCTGCTGTCAATAACTCAGATGGCGTGGAATAGCTTTCGACTTTCACCAGATGCGGTTCTGACTACCAGACATGGCAGTTCTTGTACAATTGCTATATTGTTTGTCACATGAGGACGCATACTATTATATTTACTGTTCGCCACAAAAAAGCTGAGGGTCAAGAGATAGCAGGAAACTTGCAAAGCTCAATACTTAGTTGTAAGATCATCAAAGTCGCAAGCATATTTACTCACAATCGCAACCTAAGTTCACTTATAATTTCAGGGTTTCCGACAGTTAGTCTTGAATTTCGCTTGACTTGGTGTTCAACTGCAATATTGTGTGCAATAAACAAGCTTACGTCAACCAGTTTAGGATGACTTGTACTTTTTCACAACTTCGAAATCTGGAACATTTTGACTAACCCTAATTTATTCCCTCTCCATTTACACATTTTTAAATATTTTAATGTAATTCTGCTTTCATCTACTTCTTTGCATGTCACTGTGAGGTGGCAAATTTTAATTGATGCACTTCTACGACAGATTCCTTGTTAACTTCTTTATCTCTGCCTAGGATGACAATATTTATGAGTATAAAAATGCAAGGTGAACTCAGCATATATTTGGGCTTCATGATAGTTCAAAAGTATACTCCTCGAGAAGAAGCAGCCTTGAATTCACTCACACCACTGGTAGAAAATTGCAAAGTGGTTTTTCCGAAGCATTTGATGGTAACATTATTTCCTATAGATGGTAAACGGTGAAGGGAAAAACAAAAGAATGTAGAACTTTTTGGGGTGTAGAAAATCATCTGGTTACTAACAGGTACATAGTTTCAAACATATGTCATCATATTAACTCAAAAACAAACTCACGAGGCCAGATCCAGACATTACATGACGTAGCGTACAAGAAACTTGCAATAAGCAAAACGGCGATAGGGAAAAGAACAATCGGTGTATCTTTAGGAAGAATACCACAATCTATAAAAGAACTGGCGTTAAAAATGGGTTGGCCATATGCAACGCGATAGAAATTCGCCACATTTTGAGTACGACAGCCAAAGAGAATAACAGGAACGTAAGGTATTTTCCAAGTACCTCCAGAAACTGAGTACTCTAAAACAATTGTTACAACGTATGCTGTTGCTGGTCGGCGAGATACAAGTATATTAGATATGAATTCATCATTTGGAATGAGCTCACTACAAAAAGAAGTAAAAGACTAAATCTTAGTTGATATGTTTTGATTTGCTCAAAACATGCAAATTAGTATGAGAATACAAAAAGGCATTAAGGATGCGTCTACTGCTTTCTGCTTCACAGACGTACAGTGCAACCAGATAAAAGCTACTGCTTGTAAATTGCACTCATACACTATACTAGAGTAACTTGAAAGTGAAAACGTCACTTAATAAGAATAAAATAGGTATAAGCGAAAGTTTTTGGTTGGTTCCGTTTCATAACATCTGACAAAATATTGTTCTTCAACTTTGAAACACAATGATTTCATTTATCCATCCAAATACCTCAATGCATTTTGTAGATACGAAAGGGAATGTGAACGGTATAAGCATCTATTTGTAATTGCTATTATTTGAGCAAGCTTTTAGATGGCAGTGTGAACTATTATTCACAATTACTTTTTGAAACCTATTTCTATATCGAATTCGCAGTAGATAGAGGGATCTAAAGCCGAGTCAGTGGTCTGTGATTCAGCATCTACAGTAAAGAGCTAAAGTTTCATTTGGGAGGTGAAACCCAGCGCTAATGTATCTCAACGGTATCAATTATGATTTCATTCAGTAACAAAATTACAGCTTTTAATTTCTACTTGTACCTGACAATAATCCAACCTTTTGATGTTTGTATGCTCGAATTTAGGAGTTTTAGGAATAACTAGGCTAATTTGTATTCGATGAAATCGAATTGGTATCTCCGACAAGAAACGATTATCACATACCTTTAGCATCAAGCAGTTGCGTATACGCTTTATTTTGCTAAATTATGTGTTATATCTTTTTCTTCAAAAGAATCTACTATATTAAGTACCTTTCACTGAATTGCTCAGAACAAAGAAAAGTACACAACACCCGATAAGTCTGAATCTACAGGCACATTTGATAATTTGGGAAAGCACAGTAAACGAGTTAGTTTGCAACATGACACTGATAATTAATACAAGTGCTGCAAGTTAGGGGATAAACGTGAAACTTAGTACTGACGTATGAAGTCAAACATCACTAAAAGTGCTTTTTTATTAAAACATATTTACTAAGTGGGGATAGGAAATGTAAGCTTAACAACAGAACTTAAGAAAGAAACATTTTTACACCGCTAACGGGTGGAACTACCCAGTTTTTCTATATGCACATCGGTCTTAACATGACCGTTAATCAGTCTTACCAAACTATGTGGTTTTACCCACCAGTTTAGAGTGTATAATAAGGTAGCACTTTCTAGCACATATAACCTAATGCCGTTAGACGATTCATAGATTTTTGTCGAACTCAGACATGAACGTATACACCGGCACAGAAGTGCACCAAACTCATCCAACTATGCTTTTATAGCCAAAATATTACAACCAAAGTTCGAAACAAGTTAGAATCCTACTACCCAGCTTAGCATTCTAAATATTTTGCACGCGAAGAAATGGTCCTAAGTTAAGACATGGCGTAGCGTGTAACTCGTATTAATTTGAACATGACTAGTAAGCGGTATGCCAGAAAACCCCTAAAGACATTACCCTAAAACGAGCACAATAATTAGGTGGCCAATATTCTAACTGCAACGCTACGCGCGCGTCAAACAGGTAACCATAAAAGTGTTTAGTGCTACTAAAGCTACCAAAGGTATATACATATATATCCTTCTCGATCCAACTGGTAGCTGCTACCCTAACATGGTGGTTGGGATTGCATACCACAGAGACCGAACGAGCTATGCTGTAATGACTGTTTCTTGGGGCCGTGTCATACTTGAAGAGTTAGTGTATGGTATTGAGACAAAAAGCAGTTACCACCATGTTAACATCTATGTTATGATGAAGGTCCGAAAGTAGAGTCATGCCGCTGGTGACACGGGGTATAATAGCCGTAAGATGACCAGCATTCCATTTCGATACTGTCTTCAGCGTGAGAACGTATTGTCAGAAAATGTTCGCACCAGAACAGCAGTCGCTACCCTGCGGTATTTCGATGCCCATGACATGCATTTTTTTTCGTCCAGCAGCGACGCAATCAAATATAAATCCAAAACTCTTAAAAAGACCGTGTAACCGGCCTCAAGAAAATGTCCCACGGGCTCTGCTGCCACACAAAACTAATCCTTCCTGTCTCTCAGCTACTTCACGGAAACAACTTCCATTGTACGAACAGTCAGGAAGTACCAACCACCAGCACGCTTCCAACAGCATTTAAAACCCAACTAACCACAGCTCAACTCTATTACCTTTGTTACCTCCTTCGCCTTCACCTCTCGATGACAACATTAAACTCTTTGCAGCTTCATTATTCTGTTACTTTGCAATCATTCTTATTAATCTTAACCAGCAAAACACCATTCCCAGTCTCCTAAAGCCACGCTGACAATTTTGAATTAGTCTCTTCCACATCCAAACCCCATGCTGAATTGGACAATAGATGTCAATTGCCGATACAAAGTAGTATGAAGAAGTGGATGTGGTAAACACAAAATATTTCCTTCGTGAAAACTGGGACAGTCGATTATCGAGAAATCGTAGGGGATCATATACTATCCTCATACTCTAGCTGACAATGTAGTCGCTTTAGCCAACAGTCCTCGACCACAGTCTTCAAATACCCCTAGTACTAGTCCATATGGCCCTGCTAACCTTCCTCATTTCAGGATACTTACAGCCTTCTGAACTTCAACAAGCGTAACATGCCATATCTCAGTGTTCCACTCAAAATTTGACTGAATAGCGAACAAGCAAAGAGTAGTTGGGAGTCAACACCTACTACTCTGACGTGGTGGTCACGTTTGTATATCGCAATGACCCAACGAGATATGCTGGTGGAACGCATGTTCCCTCGAGCTCCTACCATGCCAGAAAGGTGTGCTGGATGGTGGTTACACAAAAAGCGGTAACCATTATAATGTAAATTGCTGCTCTATAGTGGGAGTCTGAGGGAGAAGTCGTACTGCTGCTGGCTGGTTGGAGTGTAACAGCAGTGAGACGTTTCCCTTGCATGACGAGCAGTGCCAAGCCAATGCTGTCCTCTCTATGGGAAGGAGGATTAGAAAAGGCCAGTCCAAAAAGTAGCACACTCCTTTACGCCACAGTATACAAGCACCTGGGATATGGGTCCGAACTCAGACTGAAGAAAAGCTAAGTGAAGCCCCAAACTTCTAAAAAACGGTCTGGTCAGCCTCAAGCAGATGTCAATTTGGATCTCCGATTATGCACCTACCCTACTTTTTCAGGTATCTCGAAGAGAACTAGCTTTCCACAGTATGTGCAGCCGACAAGTGTTAACCACCCACACATTTGCAGTAGTATACGAAACCCAAAAGACCTGCCATACGAAGTCTCGCCAACCTTCTTAAGCTTTTTCCCTGCAAGCGAATTGCAGCCGCATGTTTGTCCACAACAGTTTCAATAACCACTGACGTTTGCAATTAAGTCGCCTCACTAAGTCTAAACAACTATCTACTGCTACCTATTGCTACTAATTTTTCCATCTCTAGTCTTCACCGACAGTCACTGCTTAGGGTCATTACGTACACTTCTTGCCGTCTCCGTATTGTGCTCGGTGCCTGCAGGATTGCGTTCACGTGCATCCATTAATTCAGAAGAAGCTGCGATCAACGAAATTTTGGTATGCTTGGTATGGGTATAAGAGCATCACCAAGCACAGTAATCAAACCAACGGAACCCAAAACGTGTGCATGCACTAAGCTACAAGCTGCATTGATTCCGAGGGTTCATAGCTTTACTCAGTTGCCCTAACTAGAGCAGGTGAGCCGGATTTTAAAACCGTTACCAATCGCCTGAAAGTAAAATGCCTTACCTAATGAGTCGCATCTTAACACCTACAGACAAAAAGTTATGACTAGAAATAGTTTCATATTGCATGCAATTATGTATAAGTGCGAAACATGAGCTTTAATTACACCACCATCTACCTAGCAGAGAACACACTCATTTATAATTTCCAATAAAGGCACTTGGCAATATTTGGATAAATTTGAGTATATAGGTTCACAAGCGAGTTTCATCAAATCTACTGGCACATCTTACAAAAGAACGGATCAAGCCTCAGATTGTTAGTATATATATATATATATATATATATATATATATATATATATATGGTGCATTAGTAATACTTTTGATGCTTCTGAGATAGCAAAGAAGTCACAAAGCTTACCTCTGCCGTAAGGACTGTATATAAATGCCACGAAATGATGGATGACCGAAGTTTGCCATTTTATCTATAACGACAGCAACTTCATCCGGAGTAGGATTTATAACAGCTCCGTATGAACCTCCAGCAGTTATTAAGGGTGTGCTGTACACATGGTAAACTAGACTGTCAGCAGGTTTATCCGAATCCTTCATGTCTGAGCATACAAAGTCTTTAGATTTGCTAGGCACTGAAGCTGCATAAAATTGAAGTGAGGATGTCCAGTAGCTCAACAGGTCAATGCGCTTCGAAGTTAGTCCTGAAACATTTATACTTCGAGTTATGATATCCGCAGTGACAGCTGCACTAGCAACACCGACGTGTGCAGTGCGTCCGCATCCGCCTGGTAGTGGAACTAAAATTACAAAATTTACATAATTACAACAAGCATACATTCTGGTCCATAAGCAACGGCTTTAACCCACGCTGTGAGCGGGATGGCATAAGAGGAATAAACGTAGAAAGTCGTGGTCGTTTTGTTTTCCGTAAAACTGGCCAGTCCACTGTGAGTTGAGTACTGAGAGGCATCGTAGGTAAATGAGGGAGATACAGATACCAGAAGTGGGTTGAACGGACTGTGAAGCTGGTAAACAATAAATTTGCTGCCCAGAGGAATATTTTGAACTTCAACATACACAAGTCCATTGATCGAAACATTTGTGAATGAACCATGCTGAATAGTGACCACTGAATGGGAAAAATACTCCTGATGTTTCCACAAAGTAGTATTACATGCAGGAATAATGTACGAAATAACATACCGCGAGACTTGAAAGGTCGCCCATCCGGCAACCTTCAAATCTAGCTGCAAATCTGCGCTAACATCCAACATCAGTTATGACAGCAGTCAGCCTACTTGTCCAACATCCAACATCAATAGTGCAGGCAGAGGAAACTTGTAGTTTCTGAGCTCTCGCATCTAGGTCTTAAGGCTCGGTTTTTTTGTTTGGTTGTACTCTTTTGACGGTAGCAGAAGTCTTTGCGTTTTTCCTACTTACAGCTTTGGCGGTAGTGATTGTCTATTTAAAGATATTTTATTTACATATTGTAGTCTGGATTGTTTTGGGGCGACAGAGCTGCTGATAAGATCAATTAACCGTTTCAATTCCTGTTTTAGTAAACACCTGCAAGTAAGTATTAAGGGTTACTTAAAAAGTTCTAGAAATAGGGTGAGTGGGGAATGAGAAGAACAGGAGTGAAAAGCACTCATGGAAAGACAAGTGTTGCTGGTAACAATATAGGCGAGAAATGCGTCTCACTGCAGATGCTAGGGTTGGGGAATGCAGGGATGGAAGAGCATATCATCAGGTGCTACTGACAAATGTTCGTGGTAAGCCATTTGAGCCCATGTACTCATCCAGTAGTCGTCTGAAGCAGTTGACTGATGTAGCTGTGTCTACTTTCTTGGGCAGAGCGTTCCATAAAGCATACACTATGTGGGAGAAGTTAGGCCTCACTCTCGTTTTCGCCCTGTGGAGGGGTATGCGAGTGAGGTTCTCAAGGGACTGTCGGTTTTGGACTGATAACGTTGACTTATATGGGTGGTCCACTTGATGAGTGATCTTGCAGGCTGTTATCAGGTCACTGCGTTTCCTTCGATAGCCTAAAGTGACTAAGTTTGGTTATCTGGGGTGTTGCGCATGTGTTTTGACTGTTATCCCAACAACCGACCTTGTCACCCTTCTCCGTACCTATTTTAGAGTGTCGGCATGTTGAACACTTCTAGATGTGGTCTGATATGGGTTTTAAATGCCATGAGGGATAATTCTGGGGTTAACGATTCAAGCTGCTTTCTTAGAAAGCGTGTGATGGCGTTCATCTTTACTGCCATTCCCTTATAATTGCTGGTAGCATTTAGTGTGTCAGAAAAGTTTAATCCCAGGTCCTTCTCTGTGGATACCTTGGTGATTGCATACTTGTTAAGAGTCTGGCTGATTTTTACCGCCTCTGTCGTGCGAGGATGCAGCACCTTGCACTTCTCCAGGTCAAAGCCTAAAATGTTTGTAGATGACCAGGACTCCGGTCGCAACAGGTCGTCTTAAGGTATACCCGGTTCCTCTTCCTCACCTGTCGTCTTCCATATTTTGATGTCCTCCGGAGATTTCCATATTCTCAGTGTTGAAATTTTCGCAAACACCTGGTTTGAGGAAATCTTAACGTTCACCAGCTTTGTATCACAGCCCTGGAACTTCTTCCCTTACTAGATGTTGATAGTGGCTGCACTACTGGGTTGAGTTGCTCGTCAAATCAGCTGCTCAACAGTTCCGCCATCTCCCCGCTGTTCAAAAGTTCTCTGACCGGTCCTATAATCAGGTCTAAACCCTTATCCATCGGTTTGGGTCATGACATAAACCGATATAGGCTTTTTGGATAATAACTTAACTGTTCAGCCAGGTTACTCTGGTATATGTACCCGTCATTACGAACTCTTGTGTTACACAAGTTGCATAACGTCTGGTACCTAGGACAATCTGATCCCTTATGTGACGTGCTCCGCCGATATCATGGCTTCTTTTCTCTGCATTTGCCTTTGGGCTGCGCGAGCTACTCAAGACTAGTTGAGAGGTGGTCGTCTGGCTAATTTCGGAACACTGTTTTCGACAGCGCTCTGGACAGTATCTGCAATATGTATCCAGTGTTCGTCTATCGATAGTGAGTGCCATTCTTGTGACCATGCAGGCTCCAGGAGTTCATTGTTTATGAGATGGCAGTCTTCTTTTGGTAGTTTCTCTTCGGTTATCAGAGATAATCCCACCAAGGCACGGTACTTTTTGCCTGGGGGGGTGGACACAGATATCATCCACCGAAAGGGCATCGTCTGTTAGAACGTAGTCAAGTGGTGATCCTTTTCTATCTGGTCCCCATCTGGTGTTTCCCCAGCCTTCTCTATCAGTCCACACGCCGTTAGCGTGTTTCGAAGTTCATATTCGGAAGGCCCACATCTTACTTCGCACTGCGGGTTGAGTGCCAGTGTGTCAAAGTCCCCAGTGAGGACTACTTACGCTACTTACAAACGTGACGTAGCCTCTCATTTCCCTCGTGTTCAAGGAAATTCTGTTCTATTCTGCTGCTTTTGGTTGCTACCTGCCTCCTGGAAAAACGCCGAATCTCTTGAGGGTGTACATATCTCGCCCCAATTTCTGCAAATCTCAGACCACAGACAACACAAACAAGCACTGAACCGGTCTGCCAAACGTTGAAGTTGCTTAGATCTATCTCCACTTCAATGTAGCAGATAGTTGGACGGTGTCACCCACTCATTGAAAAATACTTATAAGCTAGAGAGGAAAGTTATTGCTATTGCCTAAATCGTGACTCTGTTGAGGTTAACTGATATCTAATATCTATAACTATTCAACTCGTTAATTATTTGTTTAACATTATAGCATTATATTTTTAACGCTTCCTACCTGTCTTTCTGAGAATGAAAACAAATGTCATCAACCTCCGTAGAAATAAGAGTATTAGCGCGAAAAGGCCAAAATTATCTGATCTATCGCCAAAAGTTAAAAGTTCCACCAGCGATTGTGGTCCGTCACTTAGGTTACCCGATCTTATGACTGACATCTACAGAGATGTTGATAAAGTTAAGTCCGATATCCTGTAGTTGGGAATATGCAGCGTAAAATGGGATATCTCTTCCCACTGTTGGATTTGTTAGATCCCAAGTGTAACTCCCCAATCGATAGTTTAATAAAATGCGAGAGACTAGCTGACTTTGTAACCACTGAGGTAAGCAACTGGATGCGATCCTCCTACAATTCCATAATCTTCAACATCCTTGACAATTCCTCAGTAGAGCGGGTTAAGACTGACTGTTTACAAACATGCGACCTAGCTGACTCAGCTTGTAGTGTTCGTCGCCTAAGAAAAAAACAATCGGGTTCCCGTGTCCTGTTCCATTTCAGTTTAACTCGCCGTGAAATGCAAAACACTCCTCCGACTCTCAGAAAATCATATCATCCCCGACACCATATGGCAAGTTTAAGATATCTGCTGACCTAACTTCTCATCAGCGTCGCACACGGAAATTCCGTGGCGGACCGACTTCGCAAGTCTCGCTAAAACTACGGGATACCAAAAGTGCAAGGCAGTTAACGAGGTGTGAGGGTGACAAGCTAACTAGAATCCCACCGACCTCTACATTCCCAGTTATCACTGAAGATCTTATAAATACAACAGGGAGCATGGGAAATGCTGACTCCAAACCACTAACATGCACAAATACAGTATCCATAAACCTAGATGACAACACAAATCTTAGTGATGAACTACAATCGGTCTCAAGGCAGTCAACCAGCTCATATGGCACAGGTAGACCAGTGTGAGCAACCCGCATTTTCAGGCTGCTAAACGTTGTATAAATACACAAGTTTTAATTATGAACAATGCTGCCTAGCAAAATTAAGAACCGCCAATCGCCTGGTAGCGCATAGCGCCATGAGTCTCTCTCAAGGTGGTTCATTCCCATACAAAGATACTCATAAAAAGACTCTTTGCCCGGAGCCAGAAAATAAGACGATCTCATCCAGCCACAATACGGTTCACCTGTTCGTTTGTGAGAGCGCAAGTAAAGCGTACCACCATAGACAGCTCAGGTCACCTAGACTGGGGAATATGGTTTCAAGAAATGACGATAGGTTTTTCTAGCCACATCCCACTGTACAGTTCACGTCTACCCAGGAATATAACTCCATTGCACTAACAACGTGCTCCAGCTCACTACCCAACGTGAATAAGCTCAAAACTATCCCCTTGGGTGTTCGGAATAAGAGACCTTATACCTGCCCTAGTTATGACATAAAAACCAGCGTAAGTAACACCTATCCAGCGTTATATGAAGAATCTACGCCCTGGAACCCCCGGAAAACCCATCTTTTTTCGGGCCTCACAAAATAATAGCACCTCTAGCCACGCAGACGATGACACTCTCGAGTCAACTGCTATCAACCATAGCCAGCAGCCAATTCAGTGGCAGAAATACTGTAGCGACACCCTCCCATCACCCAGGCCAACAAATGATCGGTCATCGTCTGAGACAACAATGGGTAGTCCGGTACACAACGCTAAGGAACTTGCCTATATCTCGACATTTCCCACCCCACATCTGCTGACTCAAATGATGACCATGAAAGAACACTTTTATCCTATCTTGTTAACGACCTAAGCCTTTCTGCAGCCCCATCAGAATTCTCTGTTCTTCTGTTTAACTCACGTTCGATTCGCAACAAGCTAAGTTATCTAAAATCTCCAACTTATCTGACCAAACCATGCTGCATTTTAATCACTGAAACCTGGTGTACGTTGGACACCTCAAACCTCAGTCTGGCGTTAGATAATTACGTTTTGTATCGTGATGACCGCAGTGCTTCTAAAAGTGAAGGTTGCATCGTCTATGTTCGCTCTGATTTTTCATCTCCGAATGCCTTTCTGTTGGGTTGGGACCTATTAGATGATGCAGTATTCGTGAATATCAACAATTGCCAACATTGCAAAGTTACAATTGGTTGCTTACGTGGGTCACCGCACTCTGGACTTGACGTTGACGAACATATCAACGAAATATTCAAGCTGCTATCATCTCTACCAACTTGTGCAGTGGTGGGTGGTGATTTTAATATGCCGGGTATCATATGAGGGATACTGCAAGGACCATCTCGTTTCAAGCCATTCTTTCAAACCTTAGAAACCAATGGATGGGTTCAGGTTGTCAACAGCTGTACCCGAAGAAATAATATGCCCGACCTGAATTTTTGAACAACAAACCACCACTCACCATACACACTAGCACCGAATTCCCAGAAAGTGACCACAAGGCT